AGGTACTCTGCAGTGTTTCTAAAACGGCTTCTTACTAAGCAGAGTCCTGTTGAGTTCCACCAACTAAGAAGGAATCATGGGTTGAACGCAGGAAGAAATGTCCCAGAGACCTCTACTCTAAGCCGGAAAATGCTCTCAGAGGCTCTGGGTTCCAGGAAAGAAACCAGTACCCGAGTGCGTAGTTATTTTTCTCATCTTTGAAAATACAACATTTTAATTTTGATTCCAAGATCATGGTAGAAATTAGAAAAACAAATCACAGTATAAAGAGGAAAGTGAACTTATCTGTAAATGCTCCCATCATTGTTGACATTTTTATAAAAATGTTTCATGTAATTTTACTTGCTCTTAGAAGGACAAGAACCAAACTTTCAGATAAATATTTCTTCAAAAAGAGAGATTATTTTACAAAAAGATTTATCTCAAATTAAGAGACATATATGAAGAGGCGGGGCTGGTTGTGGTGTTTCTCCGTATGGAGCAGCCCTCCACTCCCTGGGGTACTTTGCTAATGTCTAGACACATTTTTTATTTCCTCAGCTTAGAGATCACTGCTAGAAGAGGCCAGGCATGCTGTTAAACAGCTTGCATTGTACAGCACGGACTCCTGAGCACAGAACGAACCAACCCCAAATGCAAATGCAGCGAGACACTAGGGTACTGCATAGTTACGGTGGTTTTAAAATAGCATGGAGGGCTGGGGATTTAGCTCAGCGGCATAAGCGCTTGCCTTGCAAGCGCACTCAGTCATAAGTTCGATCCCGGTACCAAAATAAATAAATAAATAAATAAATAAATAAATAAAATAGCATGGAATTTTAAGGGGCCTACATTTGTTTCCAGATAAAAGGACATAGTTGGTTTATGAAATGGTTCCAATTATTAAAGTTAGGGATCAGTGGAGTAAGTGTTTAAAACCATGGTGTCCAGCCAGGTAGTTCGAATTTGAACCCTGACTCGGCCACTTACCTGTAAAGTGACCTTGGTCAACTGATCCCCAGTTTCTGAGTCTTCAATTTGTGGTAATATTAAAATTAACTTAACTAACTCTAAGAAGGGATAAATGAGGTGATATAAGTAAAGATCTTGGAACAGCATATGATTTTTGGTCAGCTCTATGAAAATATGGGTCATCTTTGTTGTTAATTTTTTACACTGAATTAGAAACACAAATTAAGCCTATTTTGGGGATAAGCCTCCCAAGAGATTAAATAAGCGAAAAGACCTGTATATAATTTTTTTTAAAAAATGGAAAGTTTTATATTGAAAACTAAAAAAAGACTCTAAAAATGACTCTTGGAGAGCATATCAGAAAATGGAAGGATATCCCTTGCTATTGGAAATGAAGAGCCAATATAGTGAAAATGGCCATACTTCCAAAACTGATATGCAGACTTAATGTAATTCTAATCAAAATTCCAACAACGTATCTCTCAGAATTAGAAAAATGATCTTAAAATTCACTTAGAACCAGAAGAGACGTAGAATAGCAAAAACAGTCATGAGCAATAGAGACAAAGCAGAGAGCATCACAATCCCCAGCTTGAAATTATACTACAAAGCTTCTGTGATAGAAACAACATGGTACTCACAAAACAAACAAATAGACCTGTGGATCAGTGGAGCCAATTAGAAGACGCAGAAACAATTCCAAACACATTTAGTCACTTTATTTTTAAGAAAGGAGCCAAAGTCCTTCACTGAAAGAAATATAGCCTCTTTATTAAACAGTACTGGAAAACTGGCTTTGCACATGTCAAAGATTAAAACTAAACCCATGGCTTTCACCCTGCACCAAATTAAAATTGAAATGGATCAGAGATCAGAATATTAAAACAGAAACACTAAATCTGCTGCAAGATAGAATAGCTAGGACTCTTGAAGACATGGATGTAGGCTCAATCTAAAAATGGGCATCTGGGATGAGTACACACTTCTCAGCTGAAGAAATACAAACAGCAAATCAATATATGAAAAAATGTTCAACATCACTGGTCATTCAAGAGATGAAATTAAAACAACACTGAGATTCCACCTCACTCCAGAAAGAATGGCTATTATCAAGAAGTCAGCTAATAACAAATGCTTTCAGGGTTTTGGGGGAAAAGGAACATTTTTCCACTGTTGGTGGGAGTGTAGACCTCTGGGGGAAGTAGTGTGGAGAGTCTTCAAAAAGCTGAGACTAGAGGTTTCATTTGACCTAGTTATTCCAATTCTTGATATCTTCCTGAAAAAATTAAAAGCATCATTCTAGAGCAATATATGCACACCTATGTTTATAGCAGCACAATTTGTAATCTTGGAAGCAGCCCAAATGCTCATTGGCTGATGAATGGAAAAGATGTGGGGTTTTTTTGTTTTCTTTTGTTTTTTGTTTATATACAACCAAGTTCTGCTCTGCCATAAAGGATAGACTTGAGACATTTCTAGCTAAATGTATGCACCATGAGATCAAACTCCAAGTGAAATAAATTGGACACCCATGAATAAATACTGCATTGTTTCTCTGGTGTGCGAACCAGGAAGTGTAAATAAAAACTAAAATGTATAGCAGATACTGTGAAATAGGAAGAAAATATTCAAATAGAAGGAGAATGGGGCGGGAATGGAAGGGAAAAGGAAGAAAGGGAAGAGAAAAAATGGGAAAAAAAAAAGAAAAAGTGGAACCAAAGCTTTTGTAAGTAAGAAAAAGAAGGGTTGAAAAAAGGGTAGGACAATGGGGAAAAAAAGAATCAATATATCACGTACAGATGCAAATTTCCTATGATGAGTGCTACCATTATGTGTATTAAAATGTGCCGTAAATAGTTAAATAATCATTGTACAACAGAGATGCTTCATAAATAATTGTTAGTTTATATAATAATATTAATTGCTTTTAAGGCCTTATGTAATTTTTGTGGGAAAAGAGAGCTATTGATTAATTAAATTTTATAAATCAGAAACAAATTAAAATGAAAACTTTCAGAAAAGTAAATAAAACTCATCCATAGGAAAATGAATCTGGCCAGGGGCCTCTCACTGTCTAGGCAGAGTATAAATAAAGTCAGCAGTTCACCAAGTCTTCCTGCCTTTGGGCAGTGGTGGGTGAGTGTCCTAGAAAACATTATTTTTTTTTTTCTCTTTAGATTTACAAATTTGAATAATGCATTCACAACTGTTCAAAATTCAAAATAATATAGTGTGCTACGTATTATGTGGTTTTATTCCCAGTGCTGTGCCCTCCTCCCTGTGGGAAGTCACTTTAGCAGTTTTTTGTGTATCCATCCAGTATTTCCCTACAAAGCCAAACATTCTTATTTAACCCCTCTCCCTTGGACAAAAGGTGTTATACTTCTTACATAATAGTCAGTTTTGGTGTCTTGCCATCTTACTATGCATTAGTATACATATTACTATCAGGGGCTTCTTCATCCCTTTTTAAAAGCTGATAATAGTGTTCTATCACGTGGCTGCCCCATACTCTGTAAATCTGTTAGTGATCTCTATAAATACTAACAAGTTGTGCCCCAAGGAGGGGTGTATCGTTTTAGGACACCCCCACCCCAGTTGTGCATGCATCTGTGTATTTTCCTGAAGAGAAACAGGCCTATGCTCTACAGTTTACAGACAATCAGCTCCTCAAAGGCAGGTGCTACTGAGAGGCCGAAGTGGAAGTAGTTATCTATTATATCATCCAAGGATTTGCACTTTAAGGAAACAGGGTTGGGGGTTTGTCAAGACTGTCTTTAGGCAATGAGCAGACTCAGTCAGTGGAGATTCTGGGCAATGGAGCGATCTATTGGAACAAATGTGTTGCTGTGGTCCCAAAAGAATCCTTTTAATTAATTTATTTTTTTTGAGATAGGGTCGTCAACTTAGTTCAGGCTGGCCTTGAACTCTTGGCAGTTCTCCTGTCTCAGCCTCTGGAGTGCTGGAATTACAGACATACACCACCACACCCAGCTGAGAATCCCATTTTTCAGGCCAGTAGTGAGATCCATTATGACTGGGTTTTTCTGCACTCTAAATTGGGTGATGTTTTGTTTGATAATCTGAATAACAGCTCTCCTTTCTGTAACTTTAGTGTCTTTTTAACAGAATTTTAATATTAACAAATCATGCCCGAAGGCCTAATTTGTGCACTGGAGCAGACAATGACCCTCTTAAAATCCCTTTGGTAACATTTATGAAAGAAAAAGTACCTCAGAAACCACTTTATTTTCTTTCAGTCATGGGTAACCAGTAAATTTTCTTGCAGATCTGTGTAAGTTTCACCCTCTCAATAACAAAATGTATTTATTGTGTCTCTCACTTTCAACTATAAATCCATGATAGAGTATCAATTTCAGATATAATGAATGCCAGTTACCAAGCACTTAAGACATTGTAAGACACGGTTTTTTTTTGTATTGGAGATGGGCTCCAGGGCCTTGTGCTCACCAGCTATTGAGCTACATCCTCAGCCCTTAAGAGAAAATATTTGAGAATTACATAACCCAATCAACACCTTTTTTTGGTTTGTTTTCTAAAAGAAAAATATGTACCACATGGCCTAGTTCATATTTGGACTCTGCCTTTATCATCTGCTTCCTTTTTTTCTCCCTTGGAACTTCTCACCATGTTTCACTTTTCTGGTTGATTGCATAAGACATTTATCTTTATCTCCACTCAGTTACAAGCTGTGGTAGATTTAAACGATAAGAAGAAGCCATGAGCTTTGTAGCTCGCGTCAGCGGAGGGCTGTGTTTCCCTAATGTGCTGGGTCCCGGCATCCACCTCCACATACCCTGTTCTCCCACATAGCCTCCCAGCACCTCGGTTGTGCCAGATACTTAGCTGGCTCAATATTTTTGCCCTTTGTGTGGTCATTTTTCCAGTGCCTGCCTCCCGCACAATGCACTTTTGCCCAGTCCACTTGCTCTGGTGTAGCCATCAGATCCCTGCTTTTACTCCATCCCCTCTCCCAGAAATGCCCACCAAGCTGGCTGCAGTTATTCAACCCTGGTTGAACCCCACAGATGCGGAACAAGGCCAAGTACGGTCCGATGTGGCTCTCCAACAGCGGCCCTCGCCTCCTAGTGAACCTGGCCAGTGCCCCACTCTTGGAGCAAGTGATGCGGCAGGATGACAAGTACCCCACAAGGGACTCCATGGAGTTGTGGAAGGCACACCGCGATTATCAGAGCCTGGCATACGGACCCTTCACCACGTGAGCAGGGGCCTGAGGGACTGGAACAGGGCCCCAGGGGACAGGTCAAGGGAGAGGAGGAACAGGGCACCAGTAGGGTAAAGGGTAGAGTAGGATCTCCCCGTTCCTTCTGAGCCCAGTACTCAGCCTTAGAAAGCAGTCCTTGGGGTGGGCTGGAGTGCAAGGACCACTCATTGGTTTTTCTACTAATACATTTACTTGTGTAAGTGCTCGACTCACTTAGGACAAGTGAATGGCTTTCCTTTTCTTGGCTTTATGTTTCTGATCTGTACAATAAAAAATCTGGCCTCACTAGAGTGTTTTCAAGGTTTCCTTACAGGCTTTTCAGATCCATTTTTCTATATTATGTTGAAGAGTTGTGAATTTACAATTTTTTTTTTTTTTTTTTTTTTTTTTTTTTGTCTTTTTGAGACAGGGTCTCACTATGCAGTTCAGGCTGGCCTTGAGCTCACTTTGCAGCCCAGGCTGGTCTTGAGCTCGCAAGGTTCCTCCCACCTCAGCCTCCCGAGTGCTGGGATTACAGGCGTGAGCCACCATGCCCGGCGTGAATTTACAATTGAGAAAGTGTTATTACCATATTAGCTGGGAGGACTCATTTAATTAAAAGATATTTTCAAAATTATGTGTTATGCATGCATTGTGGATTGTAAATGTCAGGGACATTTGCCACACATGGAGATTGATGTAGATTTCAGTTATGCTTTAAAAAGTTAAGGTTATTTTGGCAGTGGCAAACACAGAATGGATTGACTATGTTACCTGCTCCTATGCAAAGTGAAGTAAAGGGTGGCACTCACGATAAATCAGGCCTTAGGCCACTGATTGTAAGTGGATATATCTCTATTTGGTTTCTCAACAATAAAATGGACTTGTTGATCATGATCAGCTTGACAACCAGGTTTCAGTCACTTCTCAGGGACACAAGTGGATCCTCGTGTAGAAGTCACCTGTACAGTCATGAAAACAACTGCTTCTTCCTGACACGCCAGGCAGCAAGTCTCTGTACCTTTATGACTGCCTTTCGTTACTGAATGAAGAAACTGAGGCCCAGAGAGGTTTTACACTACATGTCAGAGGTGACACAAATAGCTGGCGATGCAGTACGTCTCGCTAGTTCTAGAACTCAAGGCCTTATGACCTTGACACTTTGGGAAAGACAAAGAACTAGTCAAAGGATGCTTTTCATGTGTCTCTCATGTCCATGTATTAATTCTCCCATTGCATGTTTTTCTTGGTTCCTTAGAGGGATAGGGTCAAAACTAAAACAATTCCAGTGCCCATATTTAAAACTCTGAGACTAGAACATAAAACATCTATTCTTTAAATCGCTTTAACTTGATACCTGGACCCTGAGGGCAAGGTGTGGGTTTCATGTTTTTATCAGGCCAGGCCACCTCTAACTTAGCAACACAGATATAGAGTAAGAGCTGAATATTATAAAGATTCCTTTGTGATCTATTTATATGTTTATGTTGACTTCAAGCCAGTATTCTAAATATATTACATCACTTGTGTGCATTTAATAGCTATTTTGTAGCTGTGTATGGTGGTATATGCTTGAAGTCCCAGCATTTTTATTATATAGTTAGACCCTGTCTCAAAACATAAAACACAAAACACTTCGGCTTTTCTAGTTTTATTTAATATGTGTATTTCTGGAATCTCTCTTTATGAGTGTTGTTTTCCCAAGAAATAGCCTAAGAACTCCAGAAACGCTTTCCTCTGTGCTCTGTAAGTCTCATTGCAGTTGTGCTGGGGACTTTTACTGCTGGAACAGCTCCTACACCCCCAAGTTCCAGTAAACAGGTCTATTTTGATTATTATTTCTTCTTCAGCAACACTTTCAGTTAATCTTTCTGTAGACTTCCCAAAACAATAAGCTCCTGACTGTGGAGACAGGAATTGAGTGTTGTTCTTTTTAGCCAAGGATTTAGCTCAGTGGTGGAAACGCCTACCTGGCAAACATGAGGTCATGAGTTTGATCCTGGTATCAAAATAAATAAATAATAACTTTTTAAAATAATTGTTTTTCCCTTTTTAAAACTTCATTAAAATTCAGCAGTAAAATACTTATCATAAAAAAGTCAGCAGTAAAACCCTAAATCTCTCCTGCACTCCCACGCCACCTTCCTAAGCTACCGGTGCTACAGTATGATACGGATTCTTCCCTGCTTTCCTAGAAACATGCAGACGTTTGTGGAGTATTTGCTTTCTCCTTAAAATTGAGCCACATTTCATTTACCACTTTCCAACTAGATTTTTAAAAATGGATGTGTAGGGGCTGGGGATTTAGCTCAGCGGCATAAGCGCCTGCCTTGCAAGCAGGCAGTCGTGAGTTCGATCCCTGGTACCGATAAAAAGGAAAAAGACTAAAAAAAAAAAAAAAAAATGGATGTGTACCCAACTTGATTAGGAGAGTACTAGGTTTGGGGGCAGTTTAGGGTAGGGCCCCCATGGCAAGCATGTTCCCACGTCTTTGAGCAACCTTGCCCAACCATCTACTGCCTGGATGTGGCACAGGACTTTGTGGCCTCAGCCCTTGACCCACTGAGCTAAGCAGAACATGAAGACTCAAAACCCGAGGAACTTGAAAACCCTGATTTTCTCTCCTCCCAGAGAAAGTGGAATGCCAGAGCTTCCTCTCCGTTTCACATGTGGAAAAGTCCAGAGTTGTATAATTCTAAGATATTCATAGTTTACGTTTATTAAGAATTCACCATTTGCCAGGCACTGATCTATGCATCCTGATAACCTAAACAAGCCCACGGAGACAGGCATTCTGGAATTCAGTTACCTGTCTCAGGTCGCTCAGCCAGTGGTCAGCAGATGTGTGATTTGGTTCTAGATGCCCACTTTACTCACTTCTGCTGTGGTGTGGTGAGAGTCCGAGCTTTTATAGTTCTGAGGTTCTAGTATTTAAAGCTTGGTGATTGTATAGTTCCAAATGCTGGCTGGATGAGTTTTCTCAACTCTTTGGGGACCTCAGGGTGGGATGAGACCATTGGATTGAAGCTAATGCTAGTGGTGCCCATCCACGTCCCACAGGGAAGGACACCAGTGGCACCAGTTACGCCATGCTTTGAATCAGCGGATGCTGAAGCCAGCAGAGGCTGCGCTCTATACAGATGCTTTAAATGAGGTGATTGATGACTTCATTACTCGACTGAACCAGATTCGAGCAGAGAGTGCTTCGGGGGATCAGGTGTCAGACATGGCTCACCTCTTCTACCATTTCGCCTTGGAAGGTACCTGGGAGAGGGACCGGGAGCAGGAATGGGTTGGGATAGGCTCTGCTTCCTCTCCACATGTCCCCTGAATTCTGGGTCCTCTGGCCTTGCTCCTGACGGCCTCTGTACTTCCTAGCTATTTGCTACATCCTGTTCGAGAAGCGGATTGGTTGCCTGGAAACCTCCATCCCTGAGGACACTGTGAACTTCATCAGATCTGTTGGGCTCATGTTCCAGAACTCAGTCTATGCCACCTTCCTCCCCAAGTGGACCCGTCCCCTGCTGCCCTTCTGGAAGCGATATCTGGATGGTTGGGACACCATCTTCTTCTTTGGTAAGAAGTCCGGAGGGGACAGGGAAGGAAATTAGGGCTGGCTCCCAGGGCTGGCTTCTTCCAGTGTCTCCTGGGATCTTATCCTCTCCTGTTCTCTGTTGCTCCTGCAGGGAAAAAGTTGATTGATGAGAAATTCAAGGAGGTGGAGGCCCAACTACAGACAGCAGGACCAGATGGGGTCCAGATATCCGGCTACCTGCACTTCCTGCTGACCAGTGGACAGCTCAGTCCTCGTGAGGCCTTGGGCAGCCTGCCTGAGCTGCTCTTGGCTGGTGTGGACACGGTGTGTGAGCAGGCCAGCAAGGAGACCGAGGACTTCCAGCTCATATCTGAACCAATTTCCTGTGATACCCTGCCTAGGCCTGACCTTTATCATTCCATATTGTTTCATCTCTTTACGTAACTGGATGCAACGCTAAAGGGAAGACAAAAGGTCACTCGGCCCAGCTGAAGCCAGTGTACTGCAGATCAAACCCAGGGTCTTTACACTGAGCTACACTCTCAGCCTTTTTAATTTGCCTTATTTTGAGACAAGATCTTGCTTAGTTACTAAGCTGCCCGGCCGGGGCTAGAACTTACGATCCTTCTACTCCAACCTCCCTGAATACTATGATTATGAGCATTTGACACTATGACCTGTTAAGGCTGGTCCTCTAGTGTAAAGAGGATCCCAGCATCACCTCCTGGGCCCCTTGCTTTTGCATATCTGGGGAATTTCATTAATATCAATTCCAGCTTCCTCTTACCACAATTGAAGTGGAAAGTTGGAAGCTTGCTCATGAACACCTCCTGTCTCTAGGGTGTCCTCTTCCAGCCCTTTTGCCATGTGGAGCTTCTCTTTGTTGCTGTCTCTTCTGTCCTCATCTTGCTGTAGGTTCATGTTTAGCACGAATGTTGTCATGAACCTGTGTCTCTTTTTGTGCCATTCTTGTGGCTAATTAAACTCTCCCTAATTCTGCATGCACCCACTCACGTACCTTCCTATCACCTAGCTGGCCTCTTCTAGAAATCCCCCTTCACTTTATCTTCCATCCTCCCTCCTAGACATCCAACACGTTGGCATGGGCCCTGTACCACCTTTCAAAGAACCCTGAGATCCAGGAAGCCTTGCACAAGGAAGTGATGGATGTTACAGGCCCAGGGAAGGTGCCCCAACACAAGGACTTCACCCACATGCCCCTGCTCAAAGCCGCGATTAAGGAGACCCTGCGGTAAGATGTGATTCCTAGAGCACAGAGTCTGTGTGTGGGTCAGGAACGGAAGATAGGGCTGCTGGTGGGCTTTGGCTAAGGACAGGGTGACGGGCAAGGGGTAGGGGCACCAGAGGGGTAAGGGAGAAAGACAGACCCTACACTTTTCTTTTCCCTGCAGCCTCTACCCTGTGGTCCCCACAAACTCACGAATCATCACGGATAAGGAAGTTAAAATCGATGGCTATGTTTTCCCCAAGAATGTGAGTGAGGCCAGAGAGCCCGAGTGCCCAGCAGGGCCTGCAGGCTCACGCCAATGGGTTCATGATACCTCTTCTTGCTCTGTAGACCCAGTTTGTGTTTTGCCACTATGTGGTGTCCCGAGACCCCACTACCTTTCCCGATCCTGAAAGCTTCCGGCCTCACCGCTGGCTGAGGAAGAACAAGGCAGGTGTTCCTGGAGTCCAACACCCATTTGGCTCTGTGCCCTTTGGCTATGGGGTCCGGAGCTGCCTGGGCCGCAGGATTGCGGAGCTCGAGATGCAGCTGCTGCTGGTGAGGGTGAGTGGGAGAGGGAGAGAGGCAAAGGGGTTGGTGGGGAGGAGAGGCAGGAGGTTCAGGGTAGCAGGATGGAGAGGGGGACAGTGGGTGGAGAACAAGCCCCCACGGCCCCTGTGTGCTTTGTCCCTGCCAGCTGATGCAGCATTACAGGGTGGTCCTGGCACCTGAGACTGGGGAGCTGAAGCCTGTAGGCCGCATAGTCCTGGTTCCCAGTAAGAAGGTGGGCCTGCGTTTCCTGCCGTGGCAGTGCTGAGCTGGGCCCCTGCTTTCCTGGCTCTTGTCCCAGAGTCCCCAGCCCTAGCTTGGCAGTTGCTGGTCCTTGATGCAACTCAGGTGAGGAAGAAAGGAAGACTGAACAGGCTGGAGGCGCTCAGTGCCCTTCCCACAGCGCCTGAGGTTTTGACACATTTATGATTTGAATAGCAGAAAAAGCCACTCCTGTCACCTTGCTGTTCTTGGTATGACACAAAGTAAAAGATCTACTAATTATGGGAGTCTTTGTTGTTTTTTTCTTTCTTTTCTCTTTCTTTCTTTCTTTCTTTCTTTCTTTCTTTCTTTCTTTTCTCTTTCTTTCTTTCTTTCTTTCTTTCTTTCTTTCTTTCTTTCTTTCTTTCTTTCTTTCTTTCTGGTACCAGGGATCAAACTCATGACCTCATGCTTGCAGGCAAGCACTTGTGCCACTGAGCTCAGTCCCCAGCCTCTTCACTGTGTGTTTCACCACCCACATCTGAATCATTTTCTGTGTTTGGGGAGCACCCTCTCTGCACCTAGAAAGGATGGGAGCCCTGCTGCTTTCTTCCTTAGAACCTGAGAGCACCACCTTCTTCCCTAGACCTCACTCAGAGGCCTTGGCCTCCTGTGGTTGGGGCAGCAGCAGTGACCCTGGCACCGTGAGTGGCACTGGACCACCCTTGCTGCCACCATGTGATGTACACCTCCAGTCCTAGCTACATAGCAGGGTGCATCAGGAGGATCTTCTGAGCCCAGGAGTTTGGGACCAGCCTAGGCAACACAGCAAGACTCCCTTTCAAAAATAATAAAATAAAACAAGCCTCCTTCTTTTCCTGAAGAAGGATATGGGTTGCCACAAAGTTTGCTGGGGGAGCTCTGGGTAGGGCTGGGGTGGCTTCTAGTAGACAGTGACATGCTTAAAGATCTACTCACCCTGTCAGGCACAATCCAGAAAGTGGAAAATCTACCACTACAACAGTGGGCTCTGGAGCAACTGGGTATCACCTGAGTTTAAAAAAAACTGTGGCCCATCTCACCTCTCAGTGATCCGGTGTGGACCAGACCTCTGTGACTGGGAGTGTGAGTGCTGCACCCGTCCTAGGGTGGGTGGCCCGCATACAATGTGAGGGAGGAAAAGAGGCTTGCTCTTCCCTTTTTTCTCTCACTGCTTTTGCTGTCTGCTGCTACTGTGAACTGTCACCCTGCTGCCATATCACCCTGCCTTGGAGTCAGCTAAGTACGGACTGAAATCAATACAAACTGAGCTAAAAAAACAAACAAGCAAACAAAAAACCCCTTTCCTTCCTGATATTGTAAGTAGGCTACCAACCCTAGCATGGGTCCTTTGCACCCTGGTATGTAGAAATGCTATCACTTAGTTAAATTTCTAAACTTCTCAAGTAGACACAACCATAACAATCAGCTTCCCTGTTTGTAACAAAATACCTGAGATTAATCTCCTTATAAGGAGGAAAGACTTATTTTGGCTCTTAAATTGTAGAAGTTTCAGCCTATGATTGATCGGACCCATTTCTTTGGGGCCTGTGGCAAGGCAGCATGCTATGGTGGGATCACATAGTACCAGAAAAGCTATTCATCTCATGGTGGCCTGGAAGCAAAAGAGAGAGAGCGAGCAAGAGGCACTGTCTCACTGTCCCCTTCAATGACAGACCCACAGGGACCTAAAGACCTCTGCCTGGGCCCCACTTCCCAGTAGTAAATTGGGAACTACCTGTAACACATGGCCCTCTGGTGACATTCCAGATCCCAACTATAGCAAGTGTAGAACACAAGACAGAAGTGTTAATGACACAAAGCTGAACCCTGGCCACAGAGGCTGCTACCAGAAAGTTCACAGAGGAAGAGAATCTAAGACTCTGCCAAGCAAAACACAGCATGGCCACCAAGAGTCTTTCTCTTCTTTTCTAAAATGGTTTTCTTATTGATAGAGAATGTACCTGCAGAAAAATGCATCTACCATAAGTGTGCCTTGAGTTCTTTCACTTACCTTGGGGACTGAAAAATCTGCCTATGGCTGTGCAATCACAGTGCCTGGACAAGACTTCCTTCCTGTAAATGGAAAGCTTCCTTTCTTTGACAGTGATTGGGTCGAACACACCTGGGAGCTGCAGAGTGGGTGCGATGTCACAGATGGGTTCCTTCCCTTGCAGCTTTCTACAGCTGAAAAGCAGCAGCTCCACTTGAGGCTGGCACAAAGCCTCTCGGTCGCTGTTGATGTGGTACACTTCTAGGGTTCGAGAGTTTTAAGGTCCCAAAGAGTCACAGTGAAAGGGCATCAGTGAGGCTCCCTGAGGGCCTGTCCCAACCTCCCTCTCTAATGCAGGAACAAGAGCAGGTTTAGGATAACTGTGGAAGGCAGATATTGATTCAGCGTAGCAGACACATCTTTAAATGAAAACAAAAAGTATACATCTTGCTATGCTCAGTCCAGTTAATTGGATTTTGTTGGTCAAATTAAGATTAATATCTTTGGGGGCTGGGGATTTTGCTTAGTGGCAGAAGCACCTGCCTTGCAAGCGCATGGTCGCGAGTTCGATCCCCGGTACCGATAAAAAAAAAAAGATTAATATCTTCGAGTTTGTTGTTTAAGACAACACCTGTCTTCTTAAACAAGTAGGCAGCACTCTTATTAATAAAAATGGGGTGTCAGTGTTCCCGGGCTGCTACACGCTTCTGTCCTATAGATGTTTTAGCTGTGAGTGCTTGTTGGCATGATGGTTTATTTCCAGGTTATTTCTGATTCTGGTTTTTTGTTTGTTTGTTTGTCTTTTTGAGACAGGGTCTCACTATGTAGCCCAGGCTGCCTCGAACTCACAATAATCCTCCTGCCTCAGCCTCCCAAGTGCTAGGATTACAGGCATGCACCACCACACGCAGCTCTGATTCCAGTTTTAATATGTGTATCAAGTGCAAACTTTGCTCTCATCATGGAACAGACATACATAACTTTGCAATGAACACTTCTACATTTAAGGGTGCTTGGCAAAAGCGTTTTGAGGATGCTGATAAATCATGTCTCATATATTATGCTGCTCCTCTTAAGTGCTTCTTATAGACTTTAGTCATCATTAAATAATAGATAGACCCAGTTATGTGACAAACGATTTTACTATGAAGACAAATCACCCATCCCAACATCCTAGCACAGCCCATGCTCATCATAAATACCTAGTTTTTATAGAAAATAAAAACAGTTGTCCAGATTCTACCCCAGAATCGGGAAATGAGCATCTCTGCGAATGAGCTGGAGTTCTGCACTTTTTACAAGGCTTCCTTGGTCATCCTGGATCACTGAGAAGGTTATGAGCAGACAAGAAAGCACAGGAGGCTCAGGAGTCCATCCTGGAGGCCACAGAAACTCAGGGAGGCCTTCAGGGGCTGAGGAGGTGTTGGAGTCACCCAGCCCCAGGTTCACATGCAGGGAGCAGGCCATACACAAGCACACTTTGTCTATTCTGCTCTAGAGTGGAAGCAGCCACAGCTCATGCTAAGGTTCCCTTCCCAGCATCCACGAAGGGTTGGGCTGGATGGGATCTGAGGTGTGGGGTGGGCTGGCCCCCCACAGACAGGCCCCAGGGGGAGGTCTGCTGGGTTCTTGAGACAGTGAGCCCAGACACATACAGATTTGTGTGCTTTCAGGAAGATTCAAGGAGACACAGGTGCTGTATTTAGCCTTTCTGTTACCACTCAGGTCTCTCCCCAGTGGCACAGAGTCAAGGGGGTGACCTGTTACATTTGTTCAAAGGCAGCTATCATCAGAGCCGGCCTGTCTCAGGCTCCCTCGAGAGATTTTCCTTGGCCCAAACCCAGTGATCATCCCTTCTCATCCTCCCACTTGAGCCCCAAAGATGGCACCTTCCTGGGTAGGTCAGGGCAGAGCCAGCACTGACCCTTGGATTTTGGCAAAGTGGCTGGTGAGAAAATACCTTCGTGTACTGCCCGACCGTCAAACACGAGTGTCTGACTCTGAAGCTTAGCGAGGTAATGGGGCCAGGATCACATTTTAGAATTAGTAACCCACACCGGACAGCTGGGCCTGCAGTGCCGATTGCCCAGGGCAGGGGAGGGCATTGCCAGAGTGGGGGAGGGCAGAAGCCGAGTCTTGGCTTTGGAATCTCAAAAGCCTGATCCTTAAGTGGGGTGGCACATGCTCAAGACACATGGTAGGCTTGGAGGAATACATCAGGGACAGAGAACAAAGGGCCCTTGTCCCCTCTAGTAGAGATTTCATGGGCTGGGTTAGGTGGAGGAACAAAGAGACACTTCCATAGACACTGCTGGGCCCCTGTGAAGGTAGCCCAGCCTGAAGGGCAGGGGTCTGCACAACAAATCCCTCATACAGGCTTGGAGTGTCACGGGTGGAAGAGCCTTGAGCCCCAGGTTCCTGGCTAAAGCCTGGGAAAGCAGTGTGGCATGGAGTAAAATATGCTGCCCATTGGAACAGCCTGATGGAGTGTTCTGAAGCCCAGCAGGGTGCAGGACCCACTCCAAGCAAGGCAGGACCAAAGAGGCAGCTCTGGGAGTGAGCGAGGTGTCCACCGCCTGACAACCTGATGAGATGGGGAGTTATTAGCAGGTGCTGACAGGGGTGGGTGCTGAGGACAGAGGGACAGAGCTGCAGGTTACTTAAAGCCTCCCCTGCAAACAGCCTCGGGTACAGATGGAAACAGACCCCCGATGGACTGAGGTTAATTTGTACCATGTGAGGCAATGCGATTCACAGCAGAAATTTCATTCAGTGTTAGACAAATAATATTTTAGTGCAGGTTGAAGTTCATAGACTGGGTTTTGTGTATGATATTAGTAATTAGTTAATAATTTTTTTTTTTTTTTTTTGGTATCGGGGATTGAACTCACGACCTGCTTGCCAGGCAGGTGCTTATGCCACTGAGCTAAATCTCCAGCACCAATAAATATTTTCTTGATGGTTTTGTTTTAAATAAAAGATTTTAAAAGTCAGTGAAATAATGTTCTATTTGCTAAAGAAAAACCACTTGCTGTTTTTCCAACTCCAGGTTCTGCTTCATGTCTTTGAATTCAGAAGCATAGGGATCTTTACTATGGGTCCAGGTTACATGTTTAGCGTTTTGAGTGAAGTCAAATCCAAGTTCACGATGCATTCTTTTTGCTTTTGTTCTGTTGACTGCTCATTCTCGGGGATTGACTGGGAACAAAGAACACTGTTCACTGGCAAGAGCTACGGGGGTTGGACAATGACGGAGAGAGGTTCCTACTCCAGCAGGCAGCTCTGGAAATAGTGACCCCTGGAACTCCTGAAGTGACCATGCTAGGAGAGTGGGAGGGCAGTGCCACTATGATGGTTCCCATGGGGGAGGAACAGCTGGGACTCCCAGAGCTGGGGGAGAGCTGAACAGAGAAGCAGAGAGATCAGGAGCCCATGACTGTACCCACGGGCTTCAGGCTCGCTGCACCCCAGCGGCCAGTCTCAGCCCAGGTTGGCAGGAGAAGATACAAGTGGACGTGGAGCACGGGCAGACTGGGGAACCCCAGTGCCTCTGGGTCAGGCACCTCCAAGCTTGACTCAGCCACTGTCCTTAATGTCATCACCCCATAATGCAACGGGCATGTCCGAGGGCTTCTGGGGGCAAAGTCTGGACAAGAGTGACTGGAAGGGCGGGAAAAGCCTGTGATGAAGAGAAGGGAAGAGGGTGACCAAAGAGGGATGGAGAGTGGTCTTCTCAGCGAGGAAGTCTTGTCATTCACTACCAACTAGGTGCACTCTCAGCCTTCTGCAAACCCTTAGCAAGTATCTGAGATCACACCTTAGCTGAGAGCTCCTTCATTTAAGTCTCAGGTCTTACTGAAAATTGAAATTTCATTCCACAAAGGTTTATCAGCTTGCTTCCTTTTACTCAGTCCCCAGCCTGAGGGCATGGAATGGTGAGACAGTACCTAAACCTTCCCAGAGAGCCCTTAGTCCTGTCTTTGTCCACCCTTCCTGGAGGCCTCAGTGACCTCAGCTGGGAATGGGACAAAGTGGTGGCCCCTGCAGTTTTTGTGGGATGAACCAGCTATGAGCAGGACCACGGCTACCATGCCCAGAAGGACAGAGGGACTGATCCAATGGCCGAGGCCAAACCTACCTGAACCGGAGCTGAACTCACAAACAGGGGTGAGGGAAGATGAAGGCTGAGTCCCCCAGCTCCCTGCATTCACTTCCAGGTGTGAAGAGGTTCAGGGAGGGAGGACTTGGGCATTCTCAGGCACCAAGGGCATCGATGCCAGCAGGGCTGAGCACCAGAGCCTGAAGGATGTCCGAGAGGGAGACCACGCCCAGAAGATGTTGGGTTTCATCCACTAACACCAGCCGGTGCACCTGTGGGTCCCAAGGCCTCAGTGAGGGATGGAGCCTCAGGGTTATAGCAGCCACCGTGCCAAGGCTGGTCCAAGGACCAGAGGAGCGAAGGAATGTCTCCAGGGAATGAGCTGGCAATGGCTCTGACCACTCAGCCAGCTGTGGCCTTTGGCACAAGGGCCCAACAGACAGGTCCTGGTGCATAGCAATGTGGTTGCCAAGAATTGGTCATGAAATGGGAGGGCAGGCCAGGTGCCCACAGTTCAGGACGGCCAAGCAGTGTGTGGAAGAATGGGACCATCTGTGTTGGGGACACGCTTGGAGGGGTGTAAGGTACCTGCTCCCGAGCAATCCTGTCGATCACTTCCCCCAGGGTCTCATGGGGCTGGCATGAAAGGACTCCTTCGAGGCACAGCGTTCTTTGCCTCAGGGCTTCTCCTACACTCATGTCTAGGTGGTTGTAGGTTTGCTGGGCAGCCAGGTGCTGGTGCAGGGAGAGAGGGCGAGCTCCGAGCCACCCCTCACCCAGGATCCAGCCCCACATGCAGCACCCTCTCCACACTCATAAAGCCTGTCCACAGACACTCCCCATCCTGCCTCACACTGAAGCCTCCCCACAGCACCCCCAGAGTCCCCACAGACACTTACAATCACATCGAAGCGGGAATAGAGGCCCACGACCTGACCTGCAGGAGGAAGGAGAAGAGAGACAGGGAGGAGGCCCCCCTCAGAACCAGGGTGCTGTGCAAATGAACTTGACACCTTCTAGGCTGCTTGCTGGCTTTCTAATGGAGCATCAGGCTCTCCCTACCCGAACCACACAGCAGCTTAGTATCACAGAAATGGAGACAGCCTGACCTTGTGCCTACTGTTGAAATGCTACGCGGGAACATAGCATCACCTATGAAATGTTCTAGCCTCCAATGTACAGTCTCAGCTCACTGAGGCTTTAGATTTCATTTCCGGTTTTCAGGAACCAGGGACAGAGGAACATGGTAAAGACCACCTGCAGAAAGCAAATGGACAAGTGTGGAAGTGCCATGGCCTACAGGACAGCTGCCTCAGGTTGTTCTGCTCACTCATGTCATAGAAACGAAGGGAGAAGGGTACAGTTCTGAATTTAAAGAGACTTAAAGGACAAAAGACATAAATGCAAAACATGAACTTTTCTTGGGTCTAAGTTTTAATAAATCAACTGTTTAAAAAAGACATTCTTATAGGAATGGAGAATACTAGACAGCACTAATACATTTTTCATAGTTTTGTTAGGTAAGGTAAATATAGTGAAAGTATATTTATTTTAAGAGATGCTGACTGATGTGGGCAATTAACTTAGATTTCTTCAGAACTAAAGATGTACTGATTATGGTGATATGTTAACAGTGGTTAATGTGGGCAATAGAGATATGGGTTTCATTCATTTAAATGTTTATAATAAAAAGTAAACCCAGGCTGAGGCACAAGGATTATATGCATGAGGCTAGCCTAAGCAACTTTATAAGACCCTATCTCTAAATTAAAAAGTAAAGTGCTGAGGGTATTCATTCAGAGCTGCTTAGGTCTACTCTCCAGTACCACAAGGAATAAAATAAAAATAAACCCAAAGTACTTCTTGATATCTAGCTTACTATGGTGAATTTAATTTTGCAATATTTTACAGTCATAGTCTCACCAAAGAAACATTCTTACAGTCCCTCTGACCCTTTCCAGAACAGGAAATCGAGATTTGGATGGGATGAACTGAACAAAAACCCTGGTAACCAGCAGTTTCCTCTTCTACATTCAACTTACTGCATTGGCTGGGGATATAGCTCAGTGGGATAAGCACCCGCCTGGTAAGCACAAGGTCCTGAGTTTGATTCCCACTACCAAAATAAATTTGTTGCATTTAATTTTGTAAATCTTCCAGTACAGTCAAGATAGATGTTGCTAAGATGCTGCCTTCATATTACTGAGGAAACTGAGGCACAGAGAAGTTGGCCTAAGGTTCAAAGGCAAAGACTTCTAACCCTCTCCACTCTCAGTCTCTAAGCTGATGCCACACAGACTCCTGCCCATTCTCAACCCTTCTCTACCATGTTCTCCCCGACATGCCCTCCTTCCCAACCCTGGCCCAAGCCTCTTGTCCTGGTGCCAGTACCAGATTCATTGACTACAGGCAGCGCTGACACTCGACGGTCCACAAAGATGTCCAGCGCAGTCAGGATGGGTGCAGTCTCCAGCACCACGGCCAAATCTCGGAATGTGCCGATGCCCAGATCTTGGATAGTGCGGTAGAGGAAGGAGGGCCGGGGCAGTAGGGCCCCCTGGAAGGGGTGAGGACACGTGGTGACCAGAGCAAGCAGCCCGCAGAGGGCTCCTAGCTCCTCCCGCCCCACGGCTTGCAGATTTGGCTCCTCTGTGGCCTCCCCGTGGCTCCCCCTTTCTCCTCCCCCTAGGCCTGGGCTCACAAAGATGTGCAGGAATTTGAGCAGCCGCTTGTGTGTGAGGATGTAGAGCACCGTGCCTGACACCGGGTCCAGGACTGGCAGACGATGGATGCGGTTCTTGATGAGAGCATAGACAGCTTCGAACAGGCTGGGGAGGAGAAGGAGTGAGCCTGGGGCAGCCTGGGAAGAGATGTCCCCCACCCTTGTCTACTAAATAGGCACCAAGTCTGCCTGTCTGTCTGCTTCCAGGATGAGGAGGGGGTTCAGGGCTGAGTGGCAAGGGAAAGGATGCTTGCCTGTCATTCGGAGAGATGGAGACCAGAGGCTTGAAGCAGCCTTGAAGGTAGATCTCTGCAGAAAAAGCAGCCAAGCCCAGGGAGCTGCAGCCACCTCACTCCACAGCCCAATTATTCCCCTCCCTGCAGGCACCTGAGGCTTCCTAGGCCGTGTACCCGCAGGAACTGTCCTCAGCCCACTCTCAGCCTCAGGCCTTGGGCACCACCCTCCACCCCACAGCTCCTCTCTCCACTCACCCCTCCAGGTCTCTATCTTATGTTGTTCAATCTCATAGATCTGGACCTAGAAGCAGCAACAGGACTCTGGAAGTCAGACATGGGTCCTGCAGGCACCAGGCTCCCTGAAGACTCCCCTTGGCCCCACCCTGGCCCACTCGGCAGCCCCACCCACTCCTCACCAGGGGGGATCTGTAGTATCGGTGCAGCACCACGATGAAGTCTGTGATGGTGAGCATCCCTGAGGGGTAGACAAGGCCAGGGAGAAGGCTGACTGATGGCCTTGGCTTGTGGGCAGGCCACTGCCCTTGAACCATATGAGGTGTCCCCTTTCCACTCCCACCACCTATGTCTCCCCAGCCTCTCCTTACCCACGAAACTCTGCTTCTTGCTGTCCCACAGAGGGGCTGCCCGAACGCCATTGGCCACCAGGGCGAAGAAGGCCTTCTTGATCTGAAAGGCAGGAAAGAGTAGTTGAGAGGGGGGGTGAGTTCCAGGAAGCTCTCCTCCTCCTCTATCACAGCCCCTCAGTGGACACAACCTGTGTCCCTGTGGCCCCACAAGGGTCCTTTCAATGGGGCTTTTTCCCAGGTCCTCCTGGACACGACCCTGCCTGTCTACTCCATGTCATGTCACACACTGGATGTGATCACTATCGGACACATTTGCTACTGTACAGGGTTACATGCTGGCCAGAGGTCAAGGCCACTGTGGCCAGAGGGCAAGGCCACTGTGGCCAGAGGTATTAAGGGACCCTCACCGGACACATCAGCGTGTGACTAACTAGCTCAGTGTTTCCATTGGGAAGTCAAGTGTATAAACAGAGTACAGTGTTTGCCAATCTAAAAGCTAGAGGTAGAATTACTTATACAGTACATGCGTAGTTACATCATTTTTTCTGTAAATAAATTTTTTTTCTTTTTTGTCTTTTTCATTTTTATCAGTACCAAGGATCGAATTCATGACTGCCTGCTTGCAAGGCAGGCGCTTATGCCGCTGAGCTAAATCTCAAGCCCCATTTTTTCTGTAAATAAATTTTGTATTGACTCATTTTGAGCCTCATTCTAAGCAATACTCCCCATATACGCTCTTTGTATTTTTCTAATAAGCATTAGAATTAATACAAAGCTATTGAAATAAATATATTTGCTCATTAACTAGTAGAACTAAGTTGTAACTAGGTCACACACACACACACACACACACACACGAGAGCATCATGCTTCATGCAGACACACACCATCTGCTAAACTGTAACAATGCCAAAAATAAAAGTACAGATGTTTGCTAGGAAGAGCAGGTACCAGAGCTCATCTTATTTTTGTTAGCACCAAGAGTTCCCTACTCTTTGTCCTGAGTGGTTCTGCAGTGTTATATACATATCCCACACTTTAAAAAGCTCTCCTGCTTTGTGGCGGTTTGTCTTGAGATTCCTCTGAAACATGCAGGGAAAAACAAGCATTCTGGCCCCTATTTTACAGATCATGAGGGGAGTGACCTATTCAGTGTTCTGTAGATACGAAGTGGCAGAGCTGTGATGAGCACAGAATCCCTCCCTCCTCACCACTGGTCTCCATGGTGCTAAGGAGGAATCTTGGAAGGGGTCCTGCAGGGGCACATGGCCTGGTAGGCATCCTGGAAACATGTGTGGTGGCTGTAGTGCTGTTAGAATGGAGGCTCTCACCTCCAGCGTGGTGTCGAAGATGACCAGCTTGGAGCTGGTCGCCATGGCATCATAGCAGGTGTGCTCCTGCATGAAGTGCATGTAGATCTGTGCCCCTGGTTTCTGCAACTCATCATCCCAGCCCAGGCTGAGTAAAGGGACCTGTGGGGACGGACTCCGGGCAGTTCTGTCTTCCTCCAGATCTTTGAGTTCCCAGTCCCAGGCTTCTGGGGCTGGGAACTCCATGGGGAGCTCCAGATCATCTGTGCTGGAGCCCTTGCCAGAGATGGCACAGTCAGCAGGGAGGAGGTCCCACCCTGTGGGTGGGGTTCCTGCCCGGACCAAGGGAACAGCTTGGGCCAAGGATGTGGCCTTGGGGAATGTGGCCTCTAGCCCGGTGGATTCAGCAGCTGGCCTGCACTGGGCACCTGTTGGGGGGAAAAGGAAGAGATGACAGTAACTTCATCTTCCAAAACATTCTCATGTGCTGTCTCAGTGACTCCACAGCAGCCTTGGGAGGCCTGGACACTGTGCACGGGAGAAGCCAAGGATCAGAGTCATGTCTGACAGCAGCCCTGTCCCTTCTTTCCAAGATGACTAGGCTAAGCCCCTGGCTCTGCAAAGCAGCTGCTCTCTCCCATACGGAGGGGCTGAGGCTGCCAGCAGAGGGCTGGATGCGACTCTTCACGTGGGGGGATCCGAGACAGAGGCTCCCACCTCCCCGGAAGGGACCTTGGCCTCACCTTCCCCCAGACCTGGGGGCTCCCCCTCCTCTGCAGCCTCCTGCTTCGTCCTCGGTGAGCTTTTGGCTCCCGGTTTCCCACAAATTCTTTCTGAGCTGGTGCTCACGACTGGTGCCGGCCACAAGAGGCCATCACCTTGCTCTAGAAAGCTCATCTCTAGAAGGGGGAACAAAGCCTGCTTGGTTAACAGAAAGCAGTACAATGAAATCAATGAATACATTCTAAATTATATTTGCAGACTTCCAAAGGGCTTTTTCTCCAACATACTCTGTCCTCATAGCTGCATTATAAGGAAACTATCATTATTGTCATCTCTGTTTCACTAGTGAGGGGCCAGAAATTCAGAGAGGTTAAGCCATTTGCCACAAATTGCACAGCTAGGAAGTTGTAAAGTTAGTACTGGGGTCCAGGTCTTCAGAAAAGAGAAATGGGGAAGGGGTGGGGCGTAATGAAGCAGAGAGAAGGAGAAGAGCCTGTCCTGATAAAAGTCCAGCGAGGACTTAGGAGCTAGAGTTTCCAAAGGTGAGGGATTAAGAAAGAGAAGCTGGCCCCCAGGGAGCGGTCAGTTCACCTACCTTGCTGTTCAGGTCCCCCAAGGCTGCCTGAGGACTGCGTCTACAGGGAGATGAATGCCTGAGGGCTGGGGAAGACCTCACCAACCCCTAGGCTTCTTCCTGTCACTACACACATGTGTGTGCACACATGCACATACATGCACACACAAACACAGCCATACACGCATACGCAGGCAAATCAGCACACACCCAGACACACTCAGCCACCTACAAACACACATCCAGAGCACACAGGACCACACAGGCTCACTTACAGATTACAGTGTATATACGTGGGCACCCATGCTCACGCACAGAAAATAAAAGCACACCCGCAGACATGCACTCACACATGCACACACACACATCCGCACGCCGCGCTCAGGGCCCCAGCTGTCCCGGCCCCCTGGGACCCCGATACCCTGCGCAGAGCGCGCTCCAGCTCGGCTCCAAGCAGCCAGCCTCCACGCCGCAAGCAAGTGCGTGAGGGCGCCGGGCAAGCACTATTCTGGGCCGGCCACTGGCGCTCCGCCCGGCCGGATCGGTTTCTCTGATTGGGTGTCAGGCGGCGGAGACCTAGGGAAGGCTCGGCCAGTGCAGCTGCTCTCCCCGCCAGCCTGGGGGGTGGACAGGGACCAGACGGGACCGGAAGGGAAGGGGCGCGCATGGGAAAGCTGGTGCCTGGGGCTCCGCTATGTGGGGGGCTCTGAGGCCAAGCTAGACGGGCGCGGCTGCGGGGAGGTGGCTGGGGCCTTGGGGGGCGTGGGCGCGGGAGGTCGGTTTGCAGAGCCCTAGAGCCTCTCGTCTTTCTCAGGCGCCCTAGGAGGGAAAGGGGAGGCGGCGACGCTTAGGTTTCTTCCTTGTATAAACTTCTTCAGCGAGGTTTGGTGCTGAAAGCAGAGCAAACTGTGGCCAGTTCCGGGCGGAGACAGGCCGGGATGGGGGGGGGGTCGTGAATGGTCCCCGGAGAGTAGCCCGTGTGTGTCCGGATGTCCCCGCGTGAATCCTAAGAGCCTGTCCCTCGCTCAGGTCGGGGACTGGAGAGAGCAGCTCCGGCAGGTGGGGAGCTGTGCGCAACACCTCAAAGGTGCAGGTGGCCAGGGGGCTCGCGGCCCACCCTTGTCCTCTGCGGGAGATATCTGCCTGTGCACAGGAGAAGTCTGGGTGCGCGGGAGCCCCTGCTCCATCCTCTGTGAATACTGTCCCCCGAGTCCCCCGAGTCCCCGGAGTGCCAATGGGATCTCAGCCTGGCTCAGCGGCTACCCACCCCCTTCCTTGGCATTCCTGCGGCCTGAGTCAGAGTCCAGATCGGGAATGCTGACCCAGCTGCTCTGGCTCCCTCTCGATGCCCTCCCTCCCTCTCCTCCTGCCGAGCTCTTCCATCCCCGCCCCTGCCCTGGAGTGGACACTGGTGATGAATTACTGCCTTTCTTTTTCTGTCCTGCCCTTTCTCTCTCTTTCTTTTTCGCTTTCTTTTCTTTTTCTCTTTTTCTTTCTTTCTTTTCCTTCTTCCCCTTTTTTCTTTCCCACCACATTTCTTTTCTTTTTTCAGCATTGGAGATCAAACCCAGGGATGTTCAAATATATCCTCAGCTCTTTTTATTAATTTTTGGACAGAGTTGCTAAACCACCCAGGCTGGCTTTGAACTGACAATTCTTTTGCCTCAGGCTCCTGAAGTAGCTGGCATTACTGGTGTGCACCACCATGCTTGGCAGATTACTACTGGATTTCTTGCTGAATTTATTGAGTACACTTCATGTCACCCATCCCTCAGTCTGCGCTGACTGCAGCAAAGGCCGAGGTGAAGAGAGTGGGAAAGGGACTTGGCCTTCTCGCGTGTGTGTGTGTGTGTGTGTGTGTGTGTGTGTGTGCGCGCGCGCGTGTGTGTGGTAGTGCATGATCCCGTGGCCTGTCTGCTCAGTGTAACCCCAGTTGATGATGTAACCTCAGTGTAACCCCTGTCTCCTCAGTGTAACCCCAGCTTGCAAGGTTCAGCTCATGGGAACATCTCAGTAGAAAGGCCGTTAGCCTTTGACCTGCTGCCACAGCCCTGCAGGCAGAGACACGCCTTGTGTTTTACTGGAATGGCCAACAGTTTACCAGCCTACAGCCTCTTTCCTTGCTATCTGTTGTTCAATCTCTAAGCCACTGCCACTTGCTTTAGGCTTTTAGGCAGCCCCACTGCGAAATAACAAGTTCTGCACTAGTTTGGACTCATGTTTGGTTTCTGTAACAAAAACCCAATTTCAGAATTCCTTAAACAAGAAAGTTTCCCTCTCGTAGAATAGCGCTTAGTCAGTCTAGAGCTGCCTGGGTGAGTCTGAAACCCTTGAAAGCATTTTTCGTCTTGGGTTGTTCCTCTGGCTCCTGCCATCACACTAGCGCTCCAGCCGGCAGAGAGGAAAAGAGAACAGGGAAACGCATGCCTCTTTCTTTTAAGGCCAGACCTGAAAGTTGCTCTCTGCCTTCCACTCACACTGCACTGGCTGAATTTAAGTCATGAAGCCCTGCATTGGTTTAAGGAAGGTTGGGGATGGAAGGCTTCGTTATGGACAGGTGTTCCAAGTAGAATTTATGTGATTCAATTACTAAAGAAAAGAAAGGGTAGAATTTAGGAGGCATTGGGCAGTCTCTGTCACCGAATGTTTTCATCTCTATCTTTTACTCACAGAAACAGCCTCAGAGAAAACAAGCAACACTTTCCAGGGTGATCTGATAAACAAAGGGCCAAGCAGAAGCATTAATCAGATCTGACCCCAAGACAGGTTTTTAAAATCACATCCAACCATATTCTGGCCATGAAAGGGCTCCCCACTGAGCTAGAGCTGAATGAAGTTTGCTCCTGAAACAGCTGCGTGAGTCCAGCGGAGCCCAGCGAGTGCTATCAGGAGATTCACCTGGTTTGGTGACACAGTCAGGGGAGACTGCTGAAGAGGAGGCCCTGCAGAGTGGAAATGGAGAATAGAGCAGTATTAAAAACAAGAAAAGAAAAGGCAGTGGCAGGAGCCCTGTCTGCTCTGTACCTGACAGTGACGCAGGACAGCGTCTTGGGTGAGTTGGACATGTGGATACTCCAGGTCTAGTGTTGTGTGTCTTTGCTGGGGTAAAGGTGGGGTCATCCACAGGGCCTATCATTCATGGAAGCCAGTTGGAACTGTTCAGGATACTGCTGTGTCTTGGCTGCAGTTTGCTGGTGTTAGGAAGATCGTGTAAGAGCAACGTGCTCAGGCAGCTGTGATAGGCAGTTTGGAAGAGGCAGCCTGGGATCCCGGCCCTTTTCCCAAGCACACCCTGTTTTTCTTTGCAGACAGTGAGAGCCAACTCAAAGAGCAGATAATAGAATAAGGAAGCTCCCTTTGCAGCCGGGCATGCTTCGTAGATGGCCTCACGAAGGTCACCACCTATTTGCGAGAGGAGAACAGGAAGAACTCCAAATCCAGAGAATTAGACATAAAAATGTGTGCATAAGACCACTGGCTGTAGCTACTCAAACAGGGAACCAGTTGGAGGCCCACCTAAGATTCTAGGGTCACTACACTGGCAAAGAAACCACAAACCTGGTTGGCGAAGCCTGGTTTGATCTTCTTCTCCAGTTACCCTCGCCCTTCAAATCTACACTGATGGGGAGAAGGCTGGGAAGGCTGTAAACTTTGTGAAAAAGGGGTGTTCTTCCATGTGGCCACTGTCAATAGCGATAAGGAATAACTCTCGGCTGGCAGAGCCAGAGACCACATTCATTATGCTCTTTGCCCACTGTTGTATATGGGGGACGTGTGTAATGGTCACTTTTTCCACTGCTGGGATAAAATACCTGAAACCGGCAACTTAAAGGAGCAAAAGTTTATTTTGGCTCACAGTTTCTGAGGTTTCAGTCCATGGGAGACAAGCTGCGAGGCAAAAAACGGCATAGAGGAAGGGTCTCAAGAAAGAAGGCTTTTGAAGTTGTGGCATCCAGGAAGCAGAGAGCAGGGGAAAAGCTCAAGAGGAAGGGGCAAGAGAGCGGACATAGGCCCAAAGTTCCTACCTCCTATCAGCCCATTCTGCTGTGAACTAGCTCTAATTCATCAATGGTTTCACTTGTTGAGGAGGTTAGTACCCTTGCAATCAAATTACTTCACCAGGAGTCTCTTAATCCAGTCAAAGTGACAATCAAGATGAACTGGCATGGTTTCTCTGCCTTTTAGTTTGTGGGCCACAAGAGCACGAGGACTTGGTAGGGGGCACTACCCTTCCCTCAGACATCCGGGGTGCTATATTCAAATGAAAAAGGCTTGCCTCCCTTCAAGGGTCAATAAATGGGCTCTTTCTACAGAGTGGCCAGATGGCTGATCTCTCCCCTCTTTCCTGTACTAGTAAATCCAGTAAACCCTCTACTAGCCAGTTGCTACCATGCTAAGTGAAAGATTATAGTTCCCAGTTTCCTGTGCGGATAGTGTGGCCACGTGACTAAGAATGATTGGTGAGACTTGAGCAGCCGTGTTTGCAATTTATAAGGCAAGGCATTTCCCTCAGGTCGCTGTCTGGAATTATGACATGATGGGGACAGCTAGAATTGCCATTTGACCTCAATGGCAAGAGATACTGGTTAAAAATGACAGAGCTTCCCCTCCTCCCGTCCTGGTCCTCCCACTTGCCTGCATCCATTTTGGGTTGGTATGGGGAATGCCAGGATGGGTAATTCATTAAGAAAGTAAATTTCTTCCTCACAATTCTGACGGCTGAAGAAATCCAAGGTGCACCTGGCAGGACTCTCTTGTGGAATAATCCCACAGCAGAGGATGAAAGGGCAAAAGGGCCTGTGTGGACGTGAGAGAGAAAAAAGAAAGAAAGAAAGAAAGAAAGAAAGAAAGAAAGAAAGAAAGAAAGAAAGAAAGAAAGAAAGGGAGAGAGAAAGAAAGTGAGAGAGCAAACTTGTTTTTGTAACAAACCCATTCTTGAGATAAGCAACCCTGTCACACGATAACAGCATTAATCCATTCCTGAGGGCAAAGTCCTCATGATCTCATTACATCTTAAAGTCCTCCTCTGTTAACATTTGCAATGAGAATATTTCTTTTTTTTTTTTTTCTTTGTCTTTTTGGGACAAGATCTCACTATGCAGTTCAGGCTGGCTGGCCTTGAACTCATTCTGTAGCCCAGGTTAGCCTTGAACTCATAGAGATCCTTCTGCCTCAGCCTTCCGAGTGCTGGGATTATAGGCTCATGCCACCATGCCCAGCAGCTTTGAGGGTGTCTCTAATATATGAACTTTGGAGGACACATTCAAACCGCAGCACTCCCCACACTCCATCCTGGTCAGTCTGCCTTCAGACTAGTGTGTTAGAGAGAAAACTTCTGTCCTGAAGCTGCAGACAAGTTGAATCTTTGCTATGGCCATCAAACCTTTCTCCATTTAATAGATCTACCATCCAGAGTAGAGTAAGACTAGAAATTACGTTTTTAAAAATTTCACTTGTGCCGGGCGTGATGGCTTATACCTGTAATCCCAGCACTCTGGAGGCTAAGACAGGAGGATCGTTGTGAGTTCGAGACCAGCAGGGCTACAAAGTGAGCTCAAGGCCAGCCTGAACTGCATAGTGAGACCTTGTCTCAAAAAGACAAAAAAAATTTTTTACTTGTACATGTTTGGATTACCTAATAAACAGATTCACTGTGGAAAGCTGGCACATATATACAACATGCCATGATTCTCTTTCCTTCCCCTTCCTCCCCTTTGAGAAGTTACATATGCAAATAATGACATATTATATGCTGTATCCCATGTAATCCCTTGCAACTTTATGAGAAAAATATTTTTATTATTGCAGTTGTACAGATGAGAAAACAGAGGCATAAATAGATTAAGTAACTTGATCAAAATATCATAGCTAGAGTGAAGGAGCCAAATATAAAGCCCAGGGTTTCTGGGCTCAGTGCTTACAACTTAACCACTAGACTTTACAGACAGCACAGGCCTGGCATGTAATATATGCTCAGTAAGAGGTTACTATTATTATGACCTCACCACCTGCTCCCTGCACCCCCAGATCTCCAGTTAGGGCACTCTCAAGGCAGGCAGGGCTCTAACTTTTCAGTCATCACCTGCTGCCTTCCAGTCTAGAGGTGGACCTCAGCTGGGACAAACATCAGTGCTGCTCACTACAAAACCATAGTGATTTCTTCCAGTTTTGAAGGTGCACTCTGCCCCGGGACCCTGTCCGGGCACTCCTTTCATTGGCCTCCCGTACTTGCTCTTCTGTCTGCCCAGGCCCTACCCACCTCCTTCCGTGAGGTGAATCAGCAGAAGATGCTGGCCTCGGTTGGGTAATATGTACTTCTTGGGTGATTGATTTTAGCCTCTGGCCATGGTTTCATATTTCTTGGCACACCGGCAGACTGGGTGTATAATAAGGACCCTGCACCCTGACCGTAGGGTGAGTTTGGCTGCGGTCTCTGGAGAGCTGATGTGGGCTTGGGGATCCAGTTTAAGTGTTATTTTTATATCAGAGAAAGAAAAACAGCATGAGTAGGTCAAAGGGGTAGCCTGGGTGAGAATTATTACTGATAAATCGTAAATGGGGTCTCCCGTGCCAGAGGGGTGGCATGTCTGTGAGGATAGCCTTTGTTCCGTCCTTGGAAACATCTGCGCCTGCACCGTTGGCCAGGCTGGACAGAGCAGCATGACTGAGTCCCCAGGGCTGCGCTGGCCACTCTGAAAGGTTCATCATCCCTGTTCTAGGGGGAAAAGGAGCATCAACTCACATCTGTAAACCCCACAGGCAAGGAGAAAGCACTGGAATGCAACTGCAGAAAATAAAACAGGCACTGTATCTTCAAGGAGCTGACAGGTTACTTTGCAAAGAACCTCAGTTTCCCTATTATGAAATAAGAATTGTGACAATCTAATAGCTGGAGTCTCAATAGAAGGTGGGTGCCAGAGGCTACAGAATATTTTCAGTGTGCTGAAAGTAATCTCCAACTTCTAATGAGAGGAACTGTACCAAGAAAACAAAAAAGTATTTTATGATGAAAACAGTTTACTATCTCAATAAAGGAAATTCTAGATTTTATACTTCAGAAGGAAGGAGATTTTAGATCTGAGAACAAGAAGATGCAAAAGAATAAAGAGCAAATAAGTGGTAAAAGTACTGATAAATCTAAATAAGTAGATGCCACATTTCAAGTAAGTAAAGGCTGGGAATGTAGCTCGGCTTGCCTAGCACATGTGAGACCCTAGGTTTAATTCCTAGTACTACAATCAGTCCGTCATTCAAAAAGTCCTGTGGGATTAAAAAATAAAAACATTTGCACTTGTAATGTATACATTAAAAGTAGGGAAAACTTAGGCCAGGGAAATAGCTCAGCTGCATATCTCCTACCCCTGGCAAGTGCAAGGTCCTGAGTTCAATTTCTAGTACCAAAAAAACAAAGGTGGGGGGAGGTGGGGATTTAGCTCAGTGGCGTAAGTATGAGGTCATGAGTTTGATCCTTGGTACAAAAAGCCAAAAAACAAAAAAACAAAAAAACAAAAAAACACCACAACAAAACTGGAACTAAAATACTTGAAAATTCTATTGCTTGCTGGAAAGAAGAAAAGATTTTAGTTACTATATGAAATTTTGATACATTAATCATGTATGCTACAATACCTAATAAAAACATGGATGAACAGAAATGGGGCTAAGTATGATGCCACCTTTAATCCCAGCACTCTGGGGGACTGAGACAGGAAAATGGCAAGCTCAATCCCAACCTAGGCTACTTAGTGATTTAATAAGATCCTGCCTCAAAATTTAAAAAAAATTATAAAGGGCTGAGGATGTAGTTCAGTGCAAAAGCCCTGAGCTCAATCCCAAGTACAAGCAATAAAAAAAAACAAATAGTAAATAAAAGAAGGCAAGAAGCAACAGAATATTAGAACAAATGGAAAACACAAAAGATTTAGGAGAATAAACATGAACCAGAGGAAGACCTTCCTAGCCCCAAGAAGAGATAAAGGTCTGGCTTTGGCAGGGGAGAAGAAAGTCAGAGGGGAGCACATGTGTCCTGAGGTGACTGTCCACTGGCTCCCCCTAGCTCCTTGTCACTAGACAAACCCAAGAGCAGAGGTGGGCTGCACCTCACCTCCTGCATAGAATGCAGAGCGGAAAGGGCTGGGCAGTGAATCTGGAGATACGGGTTGGGTACTAAGTTTTAGCTATCATGACCAAATCCGTGAGAGAAACATTTTAAAGGAGGAAAGAGTTACTTTGACTTACAGTTTCAGGGGTTTGGTCCATGGCTGCCCAGCTCCATTGCTTGTAGGCAGAAACATCATGGCAGAAGGGTGTGGTAGAAGACCACAGCTCCCTGCATGGCAGCCAGCAAGTGGAGAGGATGAGAGAGCCAGGGAAAGGCGCTTGAGGGCTTAATACAGTCCTGAAGCCACACCTTCATGATCCAGTCCCTTCAACTAGCCCCTGCCTCCTCTCTCCATCTCCTCCCAAATCAGGTCTCCTCACTGACGGAGTAAGCATCCCATGATCCAAGTACTTCTGAAAAGCCCATCGGCAACCAAGCCTTCAATGCCATGCATTGTTGGGGTTGAGGGAACATACTGGATTCCAAACATAACAGGCCTTTAGGCAGCCTTACAGGAATTCCCCAGTCCCAGTATGATAGGGAGCAGCAGAATGACCCAAGGCCCAGGAGTGATGCAGGAGACACCAAGTCTTTGAAAATCTTCTGAAGTTTCCTACGATTTCAGTGTAACACCCAGGCAGTAAAATGTCTATGGTGCCCTGAAGAGGGAGCAAAGTGGAGGAGAAAGAAAACAGAGCGTTCAGATATGAGAGCCAACAGCTACCTGCATGGCTCATCAGCGGAGGACCAGATGAGTGACGGATTGCTGCCAGTGCGGACTGATGATAACCGAGAATCAAATACCTACCCTCATGTCCCCAAACTTACATAGGTACTTGGGAATATAGGTACAGTCTTAGGGAAATTGAGAAGACCCCGAATTGAGATGCTATTTCTCAGAACCCAAGATGTATTCATCCGGGTGATTTCAGCTACACATAACTGTCAGTTCAATCCAACTTGGTTGAAATAATTTGAAATGCGTTGGCTCCCAGGGTACCAGGGTGAAACTGGCTTTTCTTGGCCTCAGAGCCCCATCATCACTGCTATTGTCCACAGTCTCCCTTTTTCGCTCTTTCTTCTCTGACCTTCAGGAAATTTTGGCCCACCAGCTGTACACAGTGAAATGGCAGCGGTTGGTTGGCCAGGTTCAATCTCTCCCTCAGAGCGCCAGGCAGCCAGCAGATTGCAGAGCACATGTGCTGCGGTGATGCTGGCTCTGTGGGGCCCTCTGAGAACCTGCAGCAGGAGCATCAGCTCACAGATGCCAGCCAAGAGATGCTGACGCACGAGCCACATGACTGTCAGCGTCACAAGCCACCTGTGTGGCGCATGCCTGCAACCCCAGTAGCTGGGAGGCTGAGGCAGGAGGGTGGTAAGTCTGAGTACAACCCAGGTTAGCATCTAGGTGAACCCTGACTCAAAATAAAGTAAAAGGACTGGGGGTATAGCTCAGTGTGAAAGCCTTGGGTTCTATTCTCTATACACACAAAAAGTATGTCTTGCCGCCTCCCCATACGTATATGGCCTCTGTTTTGTGGTATTTGCTATGTTGACTTTTTCCCCCATTGATGAACATTCAGGTTGTTTTTAGGCCTTTTGTTTTGCTTTTGGTTTCGTTTTGCTGTTGTCAATCATCCCCCAACAACCTATTTTATTTAAACATCTAGAAATTTAAAAACTCACTTTGAACGTGGAAGTAAAAAATGACGCATTTGAGTCTTACGTAGAATTTAACAGTGTACCGAGCTGCTAGGTTTCTTTTTCCCAAAGAGCATTTAAAACTGTTTTGTAAGGGGTGGGAGAGGGCCTGACTCATGCTCCACGGAGGGGGTGGTGCAGCACGGAGTGTTCACTTTTGCAAGCTGAGGGCCGGTCTCTACTATCAACACTGAAAGAGAAAATGCCTTGCTTGGGAGCTGGCCTGCGACCCCGCTGGCTCGCCCTGCCCCATGTCCGAGCATTGCCCGCCTTGCCCGGGGGAGCTGTCCACCAGCCCACCCCGCGGGACATAGTCCTGCTGCTCTTCCTTGGCTGCTCTTTGAGTTCTTTCAGCTCTCCCCTGGGTGGGCCGCAGAGCGCCTCCAATCTGCTCCTTAGGGTCTGGCGCCATCTGCTGGCTGCTAGGCTTTACTACGATCCTGAGAGGGTTGTCAGCCCTTACCGACTGACCTCAGGTAATCCACGGCCACCCATCGCGTGTCCCCAGGGGCTCTGTGGGGCTACAGTGATGGAGGAGACACTAGGTTGACTTTGTGTCTCCCCTCAGAGCACTGGTGAGCTCACTGCGCCCCGCACAGAGGCCATGCTTCCCCCAAGTGCCATGTTCTCGGGCCTCTTCCTGTATCCTCCGTATCCACTACCGCCCCAGTTAGTATTCACTGAAACATCGCCAAGAAATTGTGTCACCCTTCCCCTGGTCCACAGATACACGGAGTCATTTTGACTCCTCATTGTCCTCTTTCAGTGAAAGAAGGTATGATCCTCATCCCAACTTCTTCACTTTTAATAACAATCTTTGCGAAGGAGAGCCTGGCATGTTTCAGGACTGACCTTGGGCTGTGCCTTCTCAAACTCTTAGACCCCATAGCATTTTCATTCCCAGGGCAACGTGAGATGCAGACAAGTTAGGTATTTGCTCCAATCCCCACACTGGTGAGTAGCTGAGCTGAGTCTGATCACACCCCGGCTATCTCCAAAGCTAACTGAGATGAGCTTGCTTACCTTCTGTGGTGGGTTAGTTTCACTGCATCAACTGGGTTGGCTTGGAGCTCCCTGGAGAATTAACAAAGCACATCGGTGGGTGTGTCTGGGTTAGCGATGGAAGTGTGACCTTGGGGTCCATGTCTGATCCCTGGCCTCTTCTTTTTTCTGGTGCTGTTCCTCTGTTCTTCCCAACCGCCATGAAATAAGCAGCTGTCCTTCTGCCACAGTGTTTCTCCTTGGATCCAGTGTATCCTGGGCTGAATTTCCTGAAACCATGAACCAAATTTAACTTCTTTAAATTGTGGGCTTTAAATTGAATCCCAGCAATGGGAAAACTAATATAGCTTCTGAAATGAAAAGTAAGATGACTCACAATGATGCTTAAGAAACGGTGATGGGGCAGTGTCTGTGCCTCAGAAAGACTTGCCATGCATGGGGAGGCAGACAGAGGGTGGTCTGTGCTGTGGCACAGGCAAGGGCAGGTCCAGGTGCACAGCAGGCCAAGGTGGACAGAGTGAGGATGGGGACCAGGGTTGAGTCAGGTCTGACCGAGAGCCACTGTAAGCCCAAGATTCTCCTGAAGGCAAGGAAGACAAGCAAGAGCCAAACTAGCAGAAACTTGAGGCCCAGCTAAGAAGTACAGACTTCATGTTGCAAGCCAAGGTGTGTCTCTGGAGTTTCCCTGCAGCAAAAGGGTGGGATGGTATTTGTGCTTTGGCAAAATTGGCCAAAACCCAAGCTAACTTGGTGGCTTTTCTCCCACATTCCAGGACTGATCTCCCAGGGAAGTGGACAGGTCTGCTGGCTCTCCTTCTCCCAAAGGGCCCTTTCCCCTGGCTTCTGTGGAGCCCCAAATGCTCCCCCGCTGCAGCCCCTCCTCTGTTCTCTGCATCGTCATTAAAGACTGTCCTTCTCCAGGGCTCCTAGCCTGTTCCGTCCTCAGGGCGATCCGGCTTAATTACACCATGCACCAAGATGACTCAACCCAGGCCTTCCCTTGGAGCGCCAGACCCACGTATCCCACTGCTGGTTCGCCAGCCCCTCCTGAGTGCTTCAGAAGTGCCTGAATTCATGCCGCAGACTCCCCCTCCCAGCTCTGCCCAATGCTCGTCCTCTTCTGGCAGTTCCTTGCTGGACCTTGGTGGACCACACCAGCCCCTGTCCTGCTGAACAAGTTAAAACTCCGAGGTATCCTGAAGGCCCCTCCCCCATTCCCAACCTGTCCCCAAGTCACCTGGACCTTTCTTCTCTGACAGTAGTCAAACTTTCTGCTTCTTTCCATCTCCCCTGCCACGACCCAGGTCACAGCCATGCTGCTTTGCACGGTGTCGCAGAGCTGCCTCCTCATCTTCCTCCAGGCTCCTCTGCAATCACGTCTTCACAGAGTGTAGACCTGACTGTGTCATTCAGATCTCCACGTGGCTTCCCACTGGGGAATCTGTTCTTTTGTTAGTGTTGTTTTATTTTGTGTTTGTTTGTTTTGTAACAGGAATTGAACTCAGAACTTGGTGCTTGCCAGGCAGGCGCTGTGCTGCTGAGCTGTCTCCAGGGTCCTCCCCACTGGATATTTTAAATAAACCTTTATTGCTGAAACATTGTAATGCATACAGAAAAGAATATAAAGCCAAAGAATAAGTGAACACCTACCAATCGAACCCCATGAAGAGACTGAACCTTGCCAACCATTTCTCTCCACCTGCCCCTCAAAATAAACCTGCTTTCCTCCCCCCAACCCCAGAGCAAAGAGCCTGATGTTTATGGTGCTAAGGAGCTCCTTACAGGCTACCCCTAGCTTGTTCAATTTAGGGCTTCGATGGTTTACAAACGCAACACGCTACATTACAAACCATACTTTGAATTTTGGTCTTTCACTGGGCCAGGGCTTTGTGGTAAGATACCCTTGGGAGATGCTGGGTGTGGCAGCGAGCTGCAGCTTCCAGTCAGCCTCCCCCCAGCCCTACCATGAGAAAAACAACCCACACTTACGGGGGACCCTGTACAGTGTAGGTTGCCAATGCTTTTTGGATATCATGCTTTGTACTTTCACATCCCTTCACGTCTGTTAGCAAACTCTGTGTTTGCTAGGTTTCTGCTTTTGGTACAGTTTAAATTACACAGGATGTCTGATACTTAAAAAAGCCGGCTTCATGTTAGAGGATTTCTGCCCCACTATCAGTATTCTTGGCCTGGGCAAGGTAGGCTGGGCCCTAGGCCCTGATGTTCAGCAGGCTGGGCGGATTAAATACATTAAAGTTTTTATCCCTGGCCCCATCGTGACTTCAGGAGCATCTGTATTTTTCTTCGTTATCCCAAGGGGCATCCTCAGGGCTGTGGCTCAGCTTGGCCTGTTTGTTCTTTACTTATATCTGTTAGGTCTCCTCAGATCCAGAGATCCCTTCCCGCTCTCTTCTTCCTTCTTGCAATAAACTGCCTGCAGAGGTCCCACTGTTTTTAAAATGAGGAAAAACGGTTCCTTTCCAGGCTCCTATGGCCTTTTTTGGTCTGATCACCCCAAATCCCTCCAGCCTAATCTCCCACTAGGCTCTGCTTCATACTCTTTCTACTCTGCCGGGTGGGGTGTGGTGGCTCACACCTGTGTCTCTAGCTGAGGCCTGATGAGTTCCGAGCCAGCCTGGGCTATGTAGTAAGCTCCAGGCCAGCCTCAAATACACAGTGAGACTCTGTCTCCAAAAGAGTTTAATAAAAATCAACTTCCCGCCCACCTTGTTTGCCACTCTCCCTATTCTGGGTGGAACATTTACAGTGGCTGCTCCCCTGCCTGAAACGCCCTGGCTTCCCTGTGTCTTCCAGTCGACCCCTTATATCTGTATTGTAGCATTCCCTCCTCTAAGAAGTTCCCCCCACTCCCTGATCTGGGCTCCTCCTACCCCTGCAGCCTCTCACAAGCCCCTTCCCTCCTCCCAGGGGCTCCACAGCTGTGGTTTTCCTGGTGTTTGGAAGATGCTGTGATGAACGACTGTCAGCTCTGTCCTCTTTCCTATCCCCTGTCCCCTGGTTGGGGCTGTCTCCCCACTATTTAGCTGAGTGCTGGCCCACACTGGGCATTCAGTTACAGATTGGCTGCCTGCTGCCGGGAAGAGAGAAGCAACAGCTACAGCACATCAGGAGCAAGGTAGGCTTTGGAGAGTGGATTCAGGAGCCCGGTGCTTACAGGTGAGAGCTGGGTGGGGGGAGCTGTAAAAAGAGCAGAGGGTGGGGGCTCCTGTCCAGCTGTGCCGGTGGCCTTCTGCCTGCTCTGTAATCAAAGCCACGGGAGCCAGACACAGAGCCTTGCTCAGTGGTAGAGCACCTGCCTAGTGTATGTGAAGCCCTGGATTCCACCCGAAGTACAGAAAATAAAAATAAATCCCTGCTGGGTGGGCCAGCCACTCCTACTCATTGGCTGGGACTGAGTAAGTGGAAACCAGTGTTCCAGCCAGTCCTGAGGGGCGAGCAGTGGCCCCGCCCTCCTGGGCCCCTGCTCCCATGCCCTGCTCCTCTCTCAAGCCAGCCCCCCAGCCCTGTGTTCTTTCTCTTTTTTTCATATGCCTGTTAGATCTCCCTATTTTTTAAGTTTAGTTTTTTCTGAGACAATCTCTCTATGTATTCTAGGCTGAGCTTGAACTATGAAGCCCAGACTGGCCCCAAACTCGTGGTGATCCTCATGCCTCAGCCTCCTGAGTGCTGGGATTATAGGTGTGTACCACCATGCCTGATAGATCTTCTTCAGTCTAGAGATTCCTTCTATCTCATTTCTTCTCTCTTGCAATAAATTGTACCTGCAGAGGTCCCACTGCTTTTCAAATAAGGAGGGGGCCTGTAAGAATCAATCTTTGGGGGCTGGGGATTTACCTCAGCGGCATAAGCGCCTGCCTTGCAAGCAGGCAGTCATGAGTTTGATCACCGGTACTGATAAAAAGGAAAAAGACAAAAAAAAAAAAAAAAAAAAAAAAAGAATCAACCTCTGTCTGTCTGTCTTTCTCTCTCTCTCACTGGGGATTAAACCCAGGGCCTCCACACTTGGCTACACCCCCATACCTGTCTATTTTGAGATGTGATTTTGCTAAACTGCCCAAGCTGAGCTCTAAATTGAGATCCTCCTGCTTCAGCCTCCCACAGTACTGGGATTATAAGCATGCCTGGCTCCCCCTTTTTCTCTGAACTAAAGGGGGGGGAGGATTGGAGAGTTGGAGGCATGCGCAGGGCTGAGAGATTGGAAATGTGAGGCAGGGGGGCCCTGTGGGAACTGGGTGAGGGGTCCCTTGGACCAAGGCCCAGAGGGAGTCTTGAAAGGAGCTTGGACTACTAGGCAGGGTACAACTGGGGCTGGGGGACTCTTGGCCAGGCCCACCCTCAGGACAGGAGGTGGGCTGGCCAGCTGGAGCAGAGCTGTCCAGACATAGAAGGGAAAGGAAAGGAGTCTCTCTTCTCTATTTTCCCTTCCCTCCATCTCTAAGGGGGCTGGTCTTCCCTCTCTGTTCTCCTGGAACCCAGGGTTCTTAGGAATTCTCAAGCACTGTTAGCTCCCAGAAAATGAGAGTTAGATCTCACTGCTGGGGACCAGGATAGGGAGGGAGAGCGGTTACTGGGAGGGGAAGGGTCACAGCCCCAGATTCCTGGGCCTCTGCAGCTTTAGTCACTCAGAGAAACAAAAACAAAAAAACAAAACCAAAAAAACAGAGAAAGTGATTTAGAGACAGACATAAATGAAGACCAAATTCTGGACTTGGGAGAGACTGAAAAGACACGGAGAAAGGCAGTGAGAGAATCAGACAGAGACGGAGGGCTCTGCTTTGGCCCGCAGCGATTCTGATGTTATCTGTCTCCAGCTGCCTCTCTCCTCTCTGCAGTCTGCACCTCTGCCCCTCCTTCCTCTTCAGTTCCACAGCCAGATGCCCGAGTCCCTCCTTCCCTCTCTTTTGCACCAGGGCCTGGAAGTTGGGTTTTGGGGACCTCGACACTTAGGACAGAGAGATGGAGTAAGAGGCAGAAGTGCCCAGCGCCAAGGGGGCTCAGGCTGGAACCTCCCTGTGCCTGCTGCCTGCCTCTGGGCTGGCGCCTTCCCATCTAGTCCTACCTAGTCACTTCCCTTCGTGCACATCTGTGCAGAGTTGGGGGGCGCGGCACTGCTCTGTCTGCTATGTTGAGGGGGCAAGGATGTGACTCAGTTTGAGCCAGCCCTTCCCTGTCCCACAGTACCTGTGGTCAAAGGTACCCAATATTCTCTAGGGAGAGGTGATGGTGTGGTTTCTGTGGGCTCAAGTGCTTGCCTGTGCTCAGCTGCCACTGTGTGTGGCTATGCCTCCATGTGTATCTCCTGGTCTCCAGCCCTGCTTCTTGGAAAGCCCACAAAGGTGACGGTGGCGGGTTAAAGAAGCCTCAGGAACGCATGAACCCAAGTCTGAGCAACACACAGACAGGAGTCTTCGTTCTGGCCCCATCCAAAGGCCGGCCAAGCCCTAGGGAGGCGATGCAGAGAGAGCAAAGGGGAAGGGATGCAGGCAAGGTTGCCCTTCAAAGCCCTTGGAATTAGTGCCTCCAGGGAAGCCCGTCCATCAGACTCCAGGCCATGCTGCTCCTGCCTGGAGGCTTCCACAGCCACTCCTGTGCCACTGGATTCTGGAATGGGACTCTGGGGGAAAGCACCAGGGCTTGGGGAGTCCTGGGATGGCTAAAGGTTTTTCAAGATCTGACCAGAGCAAGCACTGCAGGAGGGGTGGGGCAAGCTGTGTGTGTTTGTTGGAAAGGTGGGGGGGGGGCAGAAAGGCCGCCTGCGGGGGAGAAGGCTTCTTGGCAAACGCCCCAGTTTCCTGAGCTGATCCCTGCTCCCTGCCACTGCTCGAAATTCTGTTGTTTCAATAACATCATTTTTATCCACCCCGCAGAGAGACTACATCTTAGGAGGGGGCCGCGAGGAGTAGGGTTGGGGCATGTGGAGGAGGGGGGTAATGGAGAGTCAGCAAGGACCAGGTTTGGGGCGCTCCTTCCTCACGCAGAGGCAGGGCGGTCCCAGAGCCCAGGTCCCCTGATGACAAAGACAAATACATTAAAATTCTTGCCTTGGAGAAGAATGCAGGATCGGGAGAGCATTTCATAATCTGCAATAACAGTAGCAGGGTGGGGGCAGGAGTGGACAGGGGTTCAGAACCCAGGCTGAGGATCCCTGAGGGACCGTCACTGGCCACCTGCAGCCCCTAGGGGACCCTCAAAGCCCTCTTCTCTGCCTGTTTGGCTCTCTCTGGCCAAGTGTATCCCCACCCTGTGTGAGTCCCTGACTCTGCAGAAGTGGGCCGGTGGACATTGCCTTGAGGGGACAATTGCACAAATTTACTGAGTGCAGGGCTGAGTACACACTGGGACATCGGGAAGGGCTGCACTGTTCCCCAGTACCCCCATCCCTTCTTTAGGGTGCTCCAGCCCCTTCACCACTCCACTCAGTACCAGGGAGTGGACCGACAGCCCGGATGCCAGGGCCCTGGGGTGTCCAGGTCAATTCTTCTCATTTCTTCTCTACCTACAAACCTCCTTTTCTAGTTTTGTCCCTCCTCCTGGGGTAGTCATCTGTGGTCTTTCTTCACCTTCCCTGGCTCCCACAGACTCATCCTCTTTCTAAGGGGCTCAGAAGCTTGCCTTCTCTCTGCTCACCAGGGAGATTTACCCCTCAGTCTCCAATTCTAGAGTCCTCTCCACCCACCCCAAATGACCAGAAATGTTCTTTCTGGCGCCTGAAGTTCCTGCCACATGGGTTTGAGGTCGTCATCTGTCCTCCCTTCAAGGACATCTTTGAAGGCTGATGGCCACTCCAGACAGTGGTGGAAGGTGGGGAAACTGGGCCCTGCTCCGGAATGTCTGCACCACCTGTCCCTCGGCACTCCTGGGGCACATGGTGGGGGGATCTGGGGCAGGTCGGAGGGGCTGGGGCTGAGGCCCGCTGCCAGCCGCTTGGCTTGATGAATGGAGCTGTCCCTCCTCCCCACGAAGCCTTTGATCTCCCTCTCATGGGGAGGGGGCCAGGGGCATCAAAGACATTTTTGTGGCATTAGAGAATCAGATAAACCCCATCTCACCTGCAGCTGGCTCTCCCACCCCTTCTGCCCGGGCCAAGTTGGGGGAAGAACTCGAAGCAGCGACCCGCGGACACGCGAGGCTAGGCTTAGGCTAGCTACTTCTGACCCCTCGGGCCTCGGAAATCCGCAGCCTCCGCCCTCCCTCTCGCTTACACGTGCGAGGAGCGAGCGTTGGAGTGCAGGCCCCGAGAGCCGCCGCCGTGCCATCTCCCCTACTCCGCCCCGAACGCCGGCTCCGAGGGGCTGAAGGGCTGCAGGGGAGCTGAGCGGAGGCCTAGGCCGCCTCCCTTGCTCCGGGAGAGGCTGAGAAAGGGGAGCGCGCGCGGCGCGGGGGCGGCACCAGTAAGAAGGGTGACCTCCCGGGTCCGCGGGGCGGGCGGTCCTGCTCCACAACCCTCCCCGAGCATCCCGCGCCCCAGGCCGATTTCCTCTTCTGGCCCCCGCTGCATGTCCCCCCCCCCCAACTCCCTCATTCCTGGGAAGTTTTCTCTCTTTACAGTCAACAAACCTGTCAAACGTCTCCCTTCCCCTCATCAGCTCCTCTTCCTCCCTCTCCACCTTATCCTTCTCTACCGCTCCTCGACCACCCCCACTCCCGAAGGCCGGGTGGCGGGGGGCAAGCGCGGAGGGCAGAGGTGAGGGGCGCCGCCAGCGGGTCCCGCAGCCCCAAGCGCTCTCCGCCCAGCCCCGCACCCCGCACCCCGCGCCCCGCACCCGCGTCCGCCCTCCGCTGCGCTCCGCGCCCAGCGCCCCAGGGCGCACGGCTCGCTCCCGAGAGTCCCGCCGCCTGACTGTCGCAACTGCCACCCCCACGGCCCCCCTACCCCCGCCCACGCCCCCGCTTCCCTCCCACCCCCGCCCCCGGCTCTGATTTCTTCTCCCGAGCGAGCTCGGCAGGAGACACAGGCGCTGGCGGCCCCGTCCGCTCTCCGCCTCTGCCGCGCCCTCCTCGCCCAGGATGGGCCCCCCCACCGTCGCCGCCGCAGCCGTCGCCTCCTGGCCACAGCCTCCATCGCCGTGCTCGCCCTGAAGCCCAGGCTGTCGCGCTGCCCGGGTCACCCCGCAGCCTCGCCCCTGCCCGGCCGAAGAGCGGGCGCAATGCTGCCACCGGTGCCCTCCCGCCTCGCGCTGCTGTTACTGCTGCTCCTGTGTCCCGCGCACGTCGGCGGACTGTGGTGGTGAGTCTGCGCGGGGCGTCCCGGCGCGGCCCCAACGCTGGAGGGTGGGAACCCCCGGCACCGCACTCCAGCTGCCTTGGGGCTCTATCCGTCTCGGATCCCGGCTGCGGGGCAGCGGCTTCGGGCCTTGGGCAGAGGCCCAGGGATTCTCCTCCTGGCCCCCGCAGGGAGCGCTTTTCAAGTGCCACCTTGACGTTTCCAAGCCCTGGCACATTCTATTGTGTTCCCTCCTCCTGTGTCCTCCCCTCCCCCTAAGTTGTGTGTTCTGTTCAGATCACCAAGGAATTGGCGGGTAGGTAGGAAAGAACTACTGCAGAAAAGCTAATCAGAGAGTCCCAGAGAACAAGTGAGAGGGCCCTGGAATCAGGGAAGGGGGTCGGGAATTGGGCAAAAGAGGGGAGCGAAGTAGGAACTCCGAGGCGAAGAGGATCAGATGTCCGTTCCTTCTTCGCCCCGCTTTGCCCACCAGTCCACCCACTTCTCTCAGGGACCTTCCAGCGTGGGAAGTAGTGTCGAGAAAGGGGAAACTGAGTCATGATCCTGAGTTTCACTAGCTCCCCCTTCCCTCACAACGAAGAAGAAGATGAAAGGCAAGGGCGTCGTGGATGAAAACCTCGCGCATCCGCGGATACACGGAGTCCCGGGAGGTCCTGGGAGAAGGGAGGGAGGCTTGGCCAGTCAAGGGACAGGGTCGGAGATGCCTTCCCAGGCTCGGCCTCTGGACTTGGCCTTAGCTAAGACAGAGCTAGGCTGCGTAGGCTCCCCCAGCTGTGAACCTTGGAGTGGGGCTGGAATTAGGGAAGGTGAGTGCAGGGCCGACCGGACAGCTCAGAGATCCAAATCCCGAAAAAATTTTCCGGTTCTCAGTCTCCGGAGTGCAAACACCCGCCAGGAATAGCTCAGTGTTGGGAGAGGCGGGACTGGGACAATAGTGCTGATACATCAGCCAATCCTAAAAAGGCAGGGAATTGTCTATTTGCATATCGCCAGTCATTGGCTGGATTCCTACCCTTCAGTCGTCTTGAACTCCCGGATAAGGAAGGAGGGTTAAGACAGGCGGATCCTTCTTTTCTGGAGAAATAAAATAGGTCCCCGCACTGCGCGCTCCTGGCCGCTGTCCCTCTTTGGTGAAGTGCGATAGACATTCATCTTGGATGTCAGTGAGGAGAGTAACCCAGGAGACTGCGGTCTCAGTAAGAGAAGGCGCATCCTTTAATCTTGGTTTAGCATAATGAAGTGGGAACTTTGACAGAGACAGACCTGAGATCTAATCTCAGTAACTGCATCTGGAACGTGGGCCTTCCTGCCCGGAAGGTCTCCCTTGAGAAGTGGGGATGACCACAGCCCTACGTGGCAGCCCTGAGGGGAGAGTTAGGTGGGGATACCTATAAAATGACTGACATGAGGGGGATACTCTTCACCCTTCTGGCTTCTCTTGGCCAAGGTCCTAGGCATGAAAGAGGGGAGTCATTTGAATTAAAAATGTAGAATCCCAAGCAAAACTTTCGGCTGTCTCTTTTGTTCCCCAAACAAAACTTTCCCCGATGCTGTTTCTCAGGTTGTGGGGAAAAGGTCCCTATCTTCCCTTGTTATGTGTCCTGACAATTAAGATACAACTTCTCTGTGCACCACGGTATCCCATTCATTGGACAGCTCTGCCAATTACTGTATTTTACTGACAGCTCTTCTACACTTTCTTGTTCTGGTCCTGGAAGGCAGCGCTTTTGTCTCTGGGGTCTCAGAGGCCCAGGAAGGTGCTGGAGATGGGTTTGCCAAAGGGCTGAGTGGGGGGACTCACCTTTCAGGGTCTTGGGTCTGTGGGGGCCTCTTTGTTCAGGACGGACCACTGGGTGGGAGCCAAGCCAACAATGGGAGAGGGGCCTCCTCTCTTGGAGCCTGACCCTGAAGTTGGGAAGCAGTGAGTGGGGGAGGAGGTGAGGAGGGCAGGTGTGGGAGAACACAGAGGCCTTCATGGCCACAGCTGCAGGGTGAGCTGGGTGAAGAGTGAGGGGCCAGGGTGATAAGGTGGCCAGCGAATGCTTCACTCAGATGTGTCTCAGAGAGGACCTGCCCCTCCCTCCAGCTTCAGCCCCTCCCTGTCCTCTGTTTCTGATACTCCATTCTTTTAGTCTGAGCCCAGGCTCCCTCTGGCATGATCTTTGGCTCTGCTCGTACTCCAGGTTGACTCTTGGCACTTCCCCACCATGCCAAACCTCCCTTCAGCTGGGAGCTTCCAGGCTATTCCTGAATGTCTAGGATCTGTGGTGCTGGTACTGTTCTCCCTGCTTCATAAAGGAAGCTGGTCAAGCCACAGCTCCGATGGTGGACAAGAAAGCAGCAGGACCTGCAGCAGCCAGGCTGAGAGTAGAGAGGACACTAAGACCTCCTGGTGACTTAACTGTCCTGGTCAGGAAAGGAGGATCCTGAAGGGGATTACCCAGACTATGAAATCTGCTCTGAGACCAGAGAAATTTCCCTCCCACCTTCCTTTCCTTTCTGCTCCTGCCCAGTGCAATTCATGCTTTCTAAATTCTGTCTGCCTCCAGCCACTCAGAGTGTCTCTCTCCATCTGTAACCATATCTTTGTGAATCACAGAATTCCAGATTCCAGTGTATTGCCCAGGCTGTCTTGAGGTCTTCTCATTCAGCTGACTGCCTCCAGGCCACCCAGCCCATCCTCTGGCCCCAGCAGGCCTCTCAATCCTGAGAGAGGGGCGGACTGGGTAAGGCTCTGGCTTCCTGGTCACCAGCTCTGCTGCCCACCCCTGCTTCCTTTCTGTCCTCCCCCAGGAAGTTCTTTACAGTGTCTGACCCATCTTTATTTATGCCTTCAATCAGTGGATGTAGAAAATAGCTCCCTCTCACAGAAGACCCAAATCAGTTCCCTGCTTCTCTTTTCCTCCTTCCGTTTTAAATTTTCCATAAAGAAACGAACCGTCTCCTTGTCCTACTAGGAAAAATATCATAGTCTCTCCCACGCCCTCTCCTATCTTGCCTTCACTCTGCCTCCCCCTTCATGTATGGAAAGGAAGCAGGAGCCAACTACAGCCTCGACAGTGACTCTGCAGAGGGGCAGGGAAAGGGCACAAGCCTCTAGCTGACACCCAGATTTTCCAGCAGCCACACCACCCCAGGCCTGGCCTGGCCATCCTTTCCCATCCTGTATCTATCTGGGGCTCCTGACCCTTAATGGGCAGTCCTGTTGTTGGTCCCTGCCAAGCTTCAGGGTGGGGTGGCCATCCATTCCCCTCTCCAGGCCTCCTGCCTTGGCAGCTTCCCCCAAGGGAGACAATGGGGCTGTGAGCAGAAAAGGGCAGGGGCAAAAGGAGACTGGCTCGATGTTGGCCAGAGCATGCCCTGGGCCCACCAGAGTCCTGGCACTGTGACATTTCCTGGGGGGTGCAGCCCTCTCCTGGCCAGTTCTCATCAGAAGTCAGGAGTTGGTGGGGGGCAGGTCAGTGGGCCTAACGAGGGGGATTCCAGAACGAGGACTTTTGATGGGGGAGTGTGGACATGGAGGGGCTGAGGCAAGGCCAGGCAGGCAGGGCAGGGCGGGTGGCTGGGCTGAGGCAGGCCAGGCTGGACTCTCCGAGGGAATTAAAGGCTGCCTTCGTGGACTGCTGAGAGCGCCCCCTAGCCTGGGACCGCCTGTCCAGGCTGGAAACCACCTGAGGCGGACTTGAGGGAAAGGTGTGACACCGAGAGAGGCTGCTTTGGCTGGTTCCGCCAGCTCTGAGCTCTCCATGTGATCTAGAATTTGATCTAGAAAGGACTGTGAGATATCTGGTCTAATACTTTGAAATGGTGGGAGCAGAAGGACCAGTGACAGAAGGCGTCTTGCCCAATGCTGGTAGCTTACTCAAAAAAAAAATTAAAACCCAATGCAGTTGTGAAATCAATGCTGGTAGCTAAGAGTCAAGGCTGTCCCATGCAGCTCCCTGTCCTTGGGTGCAGTAGGAGTGGGAGCCCCTCCAAAGGCCCTTCTGCTCCCTCCTCCTGCCCTCAGATGGGTGCTCCACATGACAGGTCTTCTCCATTGCTTAGCAGCCTGGCCAATAGGAAGCCCTTTTGTATGGTGAGGTCTGTCAGGAAGGGAAAGCGCCCAGCTCTCCGCAGAATGATGAAGAGAGAAGAGTGAGGAGGGACAGAGGAAACTAAACTGGGATGGGTGGGGGAGGGGCGGAGTGGGGGCAGCTGGTGGGCAGTGGGGAGGCAGGGGTTAAGGGAGCTGGGACATCACTAGCTTTGATGTGGTGGTTGGGGTGGGGGTAGGGACTGGGGGAAGGGGAACAGTAATTACTGAGTTAGACAGAGCAGGACAGGACAGGCGGGCGGGCACAGGCCCGGCAGCCTCAGCAGCCGTCAGGCAACATTTTTCTGCCCCCTCTCCCCCACCCCCATACAGCCCCCACCCACAGCCCCAGGGCTCAGAGCTCCCTCTGCTGGTTCTCAGGAGGTGGGGTCAGTGTAGGGACCTTGGGGGGAGGAATAGAGGAAGGCCACCAGAGGCCCTACAGAGGAGGCTGGTTACCCACAGGATCTGGGACCCCTCTACAATCAGTGATTAACCAGGAGTGTTGGCTTTGGACAGGTGCTTTTTTTCTCCAGGTGCTTTGGGTCCCTGGGCAGGGCTGAAGGACTAGGAGACAGGGACCTAGGCTGAGGAGCAAGAGCAGAGAGTTGGACAAAACAGTGTTCTCAGGAATCCCCAGGTGTTGCCTGTACGCTACCTGGCACCGTGCAGGTCCCACAGCTGGACGGGATGTGCATGAGGGCAGCAGAAGCACTTGTTGGAGTCCACCTTCTGGACAGGTCCTTTGCACATGTGACTAGGGAACATGGTAAGTATTATCATGCCCATTTTCCAGTTGAGGAAACAGAGGCTCAGAAGATGAAGTCTCACCATGTACTCAACCAGTACTAAGTGCCAGCTTCACATGCTGGAGCCTCAACATCAAGTGGCAAGCAAACGGCAGCACCCAGACCCAGCCCTACATCTGATGGGTCCTGAGAGACCAGAGTAGGCCCTGATGGCATCATACCCACATGTGAAATTTCTATATTCAATTAATTTTCTCTTTTCTCAGTAAACATGCTGGCAGGATAACAGGGGTCCCCAAATGAGTGATATTTAGGTGATACGAGATGGGGGCCCTGGGGCTTCTTAGGGTCAGTGGGATTAGAGATGAGCTTGGAGAGGTCCTGGCAAAGACTGGGATTATTTAGGGATGACTCTGAATCTAGAAATTGAGTTATGTGTCCCAGCAAGAATGCAGAACCCTGCTGGGAGAGAGGGGCCACCCAAGGCCTTCCCACATTTCAGACAGCCCTTTCCCTCCAGCCCTGTCATTTTTAAAAAATCACGTAACTTTTCTTGCAGTCAGAGGTCCCTCCGCCCATGGCCAGGGTGCATCTCCCTTCTCCTTATGTCCTTGATCTGCCAGGGTGAGGCCGGTGGGGTTACCTTCGGTCCCCTGATCCAGAGGTGAAAAGCCAGGTTGGGTCAGGGCCCTGGGGCCTCTGAGGCTGAAGTCAACAGATGCTGAGGAATGAGCTGGCTCTAGATCCCACCTCACTGAGCCACTGCTCCTGCCAACTGCAGTCCTTGGGAGGGAGCTCTCCATGTAGACCAAGCCAGCCAGGGTGACCAGCAGCAGGCATGTCCCTTCTTGTCTGCACACTGAGTTCTTTGAAGACTAGCCTCATTTTTTTTCTATACCCAGGAATGGTAGTTTGATTGCAAATCTTACATATTATATATCACATGCCACCACTGACTCCAGACTCTACTCCATGAGAATTTCCCCAAAGGGACATACCTTCCATGGGCCAGTTCCAGGTCAGTGCTGACCCAGAGGTCCCCCTACAGAAAAGTTCATTCCTAAAGGAAGCAGAAGGAAGGTAAAGGGAGAAGACACTTGGGAGTTGGTTCTGAATGTGGAATTGAATATTAAATTGGGGGGGGGGGAGCTGTTGTGCTAACTCATTTTTCTGAAGTCCAAAGAGGTAACTAATTTGTCCAGAGTGACTCACCCCACTGAGAGCTGATAGAAACCAGGGTGTAGAAGCATGCCTGGGGGTTTTGCCCAACACCCCCTGTGGTGCCCCTTGTGGAGTTTCATTTCCTATGTATTTAGAATGGGATCCAGGACAGCAGGGCCGGAACAAGCCAGCCCCCTGGGATTCTAGCAGCTACCGCTGCCATGCCTCCTCCTGATCAGCTCGTAAACAACTCCAGTTCCCAGGAAGCTAGGGAGGCTGGGAGCCAGATGTAGACACCAGCAGGCTGGGGCAACCCCTCAATCCTATGAAGGGCGGGCCCCAGCTCCTGAAGGGTCCCACTCCTCTTCATACACCCCTGGAGCCTTCTCCTGTGTCCAGCCCATGGGAAGCAAACAAGGTCAAGAGGAGTTTGCCTTTCTCCCTGATCATCAGGCCTCCTTCCTGCTTTCCTCATGGAGGAGGAGGGAGAGGTGAGGGACAACAAGGAGACTGACCTTGGGGAAGATAAAGCAGCCAACCTTGGGAGAGTGAGGAGATCCCAGAGGGCAGGGGTGGGCAGGCCAGGGACTGAGCTGAGGCCTGGGGGTGGGCAGATGAGTTTGCAGAGGCCTGACACGTGGGTGGCAGCAGGGGGGCAGGACAGCTGCAGAGGCCTCCTCTCTGCCTCAGGATGCCAGGGGCAAATTCAGGGTTGAGGAAGCAAATTGAGAGTCATGAAATAAGTGTGTAGATAGGAGCCTGGGCTCAAGGGAGATTCTCCTGAGATAGCTCACTCATTCTTTTAGAAATGTGTGTTATATGGTGTTCATCTTTGTGCTTCCTATCACTTGTTGTTCAACATAACCTAGAGAGGGTTGTGGGTTTCACTCAGCAGCATAAGCGTCTGCCTGGCAAGTGCAAGGTCATGAGTTTGATCCCCAGTACAAAATAAAATAATAATAATAATGTAGAACTCATAATATGCAAATTTTCACAGTAAACATTGGTGGGGGGGGTGAATTAGTTGCCTAAAAATCTTCCAGGGGAGATGAAGAAATATAAGACAGCCTAACTTCAAAGGAGCTCATAGTCTTATCTACCAACCCTGTACAGCAGGCTAGAGGCTGCTCACCGTCCCCTAGTCTTTTTTTTTTTTTTTTAAATAAGATTATGCTTTGTAACTCAGACTGGCCTGGAATTCATGGTCTTCCTGCCTCAGCCTCCTGATTGCTAGAATTAAAGGCTACCACATCCAGATTCAAATACTGCCCCCCACTGTGAGACTGAGGGACCATGGCCTTTGCATAGAGCTACATCCCCAGCTCTTTTTACTTTTGAGGCAGGATCTCACTAGGTTGCTAAATTGCCCAGGCTAGACTCAAATCTGTGTTTCTCCTGCTTCAGCCTCCCCAGTGCTGAGAATACAAGCATACGCCTGACTCAGATCCTTTCTATTGTGATGGAGATGGAGGCATAGGTAGATGGGGGAGGCCTAGATTAGTGGGTGGACTGGTAAGCACAGATCAACTCTCTAAGATTACTGGATCCAGCTTGGACTGCCCTCGCCTTGGCCCACTCTTTAATCTGTCATTTCTCTAGGGTTGTGAAAGTGTTGGACTTGGTGCTTGGTGGGAGGAAGCTCTGGTGTGCAAATCTCTCCACTGAGAAAAAACACCTGGTCCCTGAACTTTGCAGATACTGATGAGGACAGCAAGCTGACCTGATCTTCTGTGTGTGTGTGTGTGTGTGTGTAGCCTTAGTGGACTGAACTTCTGCATCTCCCTGCAAACACCACTCCAAGCACCTGAGTGTTGAGAGTTCTCCCTTAAGACCTAAATTCCTCTTGCTGCTATTTAAGACCATTACATCTCAGAACATGCCTGGGCAGCCTACACTCACTTGTGGAGCAAATGGGGGCAGCAGGGTGAATGTGCATGGAAGCAAAACTGAAAAGTAGTCCACCCTGACCTTTCACACCCATGCACACTACTTCCTCTGCATTTCTCCCCCCAGGCCCTACACACACACACACACACACACACAAACACACACACACACACACACACACACACACACACACACACGCTGATGCCTTTCTCTGCCCTCTGCTGGGGTGGTCTCAAATTACTCTAGCAAGCAAATGCCCTGCCCATGTACTCCTCCAAGACAGGGATCCCAGCTGAGTGTTCAAACGGGGGAGCCATCTGATTAAAGCTGTTTCCCCCAGGTGTGAATTCCTGGCTGACAACTTATGGAAACCAAATGGCAGCTCTGCTCAGGTAGAATGGGTTCAGGGCCAAAGGGATTTCTAACCATGTAGGGAACTTCCCATGAGATCTTCACCCAGCAGCTCACCTCCCTGGTCCCCACTGCTCCATTGGTTATGTCACCCCAGTGCACAGCACTTCGGTTGCTGCCATCCTGCCCTGGGAAAGCCATGGACCTTGCAGTTGGAGCAGAGCAGCATTGGTGTCACTTACTCCCCAGTAGTGCTCTAGAAGCTCAGTCCCCAGCACTTTCCTTCTGCTGCCCATCTCAGCTGGGTTGGATGGAGTGAGATGTCACACGTCACACACGCTATGAGGATGGAAGATGAAACTCTCCCATTATACATAGACACTTGGCTAGAAAAGGGCTGGGCTTTCTCAGAGGCTCTGTCCTTAGACATCCTGATATCTCCGGCCTTTGCTATATCCCTGAGCTAGTCTTTGCCTTTCATTAGAGCTTCCTAGCACACCTAGCTTGTGGTCCACAAGACCACATCTTTCCCTGGTACTGCCCACTCTCCTTGGTGTCTCTGTAACACATACTTTATTTTGACAGCCGCCTTGATCTCTCTCCCCCTGATTTCTTCCTTGTCCCCCTTTTGGGCTCATCCCTGTTGAATTTTAACCCTGTGTCAGCCGCCTTCAGCTTGAGTCAAGTTCCTATAAGGGGCTGGGGATGTAGTTAAGTAGAATATTTGATTAACTGTGCTGGATTCAATCATCAGCAAGGTTGTGTGTCCTATAATGATTTATTAATAAAATTGTATACAGAAAGATAAGACGTAACCCTTGCTCTTTAGCAATTTTCAGTCTAGAATCTAGTTAAGAGGGGACACAGACATGGAATGGTAAGAGAATCAGACAGGCAATCCCAATTTCATTTGGGTGTCGGACGGGGAGAGATGTCACAGCTCCTGGCCGTGGCTGAGTGAGATTGGATTCCTTCTCCTCTACCCAATGCCTTTCTGTCCTTCACCCCTGACTTGCTGTTCTCTGTTCCCCCAGGGCCGTGGGCAGCCCCTTGGTCATGGACCCTACCAGCATCTGCAGGAAGGCACGGCGGCTGGCTGGGCGGCAGGCTGAGTTGTGCCAGGCAGAGCCAGAAGTGGTGGCAGAGCTAGCCCGGGGCGCCCGGCTTGGGGTGCGAGAGTGCCAGTTTCAGTTTCGCTTCCGCCGCTGGAACTGCTCCAGCCACAGCAAGGCTTTCGGGCGCATCCTGCAGCAGGGTCAGTGTGGGGAGAGGACTGGGGAAGAGGTGCTTCCAGCCATGGGGCTATCAGGGGAGAAGGGAATGAACTTGGGGCGGTTCCTTTGAATCCCATTTTCTGGCTCACTTTGGGGGGTGGTCTACAGGCTGCACAGACTCTGTCTCCCAGAGGTGCTGGGCTGCACTCTACACAGTACCCCAGCCTGCCTGAGGAGCACCCAAGCCCCCGACAGCCTGCGCACTTACGTCCCTTCCTGCATCCACAGACATTCGGGAGACCGCCTTCGTGTTTGCAATAACTGCGGCCGGCGCCAGCCACGCGGTCACACAGGCCTGTTCCATGGGCGAGCTGTTGCAGTGTGGCTGCCAGGCACCGCGCGGGCGGGCCCAGCCCCGGCCCCCAGGCTTGCCTGGCACCCCTGGGCCTCCCGGGCTCATGGGTTCCTCTGACGCCAGCGCCGCCTGGGAGTGGGGAGGCTGCGGTGATGACGTGGACTTTGGGGATGAGAAGTCAAGGCTGTTTATGGACGCGAGGCACAAGCGCGGACGCGGAGACATCCGAGCTCTGGTGCAGCTACACAACAATGAGGCTGGCCGGCTGGTGCGTACCGGCGGGCGGGCAGGGCGTGAGCGCGTGGGGAGTGTGTGGCGCATGACAGGCCATATGTTTGTGGAGTGTGGGCATGGGTGAGGGCACACAGGTGTAGAGTACATTGCTTATGTGAGAGTGATCATGTAAAGGGGGCACCTAGGAACTCTGGGAAGGGAATAGACCAATCTTAAAAAGGAGGAAGAACCAGGAGCCAATCATGCTGGAGGTGGGAGGGGATCAGGGGGAGGCCAAGAAAGCTGCTACGGATTCTGGACTTTTGCTAACCAGCTGCACAGCAGCCCCAAACCAGATCTCACCTGTCCACAGCCATCACTGTCTCACCTGCCACTCCATCTACAATGAGAGGGCCCCAGGACTCTTGTTTAGGGGCCAGAATCCTGCCTGGGTTATCAAAAGGTTCTGTGAAGGAATGGGAGCATTAGGGAGTGGAGGATGGTCATGCAAACCTGCAGTCTAGGTGGTCCCTGACTTCTGAGTCTCCAGAGATGATTTTCCTGGGTCAGCTGGCTCATGCACCTGTAGTAAGGTTGCCAATCTCCCACCCCAGATTCAGACACAAACAGCAAACAAAATAAGGGAGGTCTCCTGGGTTTGCCCTCAGTGGTACCTTTCAATGGGCCCTTCTTCCTGCGCCCTGAGCCTTGTTCTGAAGTGCTCTACGGACACCTCTTGTGTCCTACAGGGTTCGGGTAAGGCCGTGGGCAGACCGAGAGGAGGGGGCTGGGAGAGGAATGTCCGGACAGGCCCACATACCTGTGGAGAGGCCTGGGGAGGGGTGAGGAAACAGACGCTCAGGCGGCTGTGTCTGCTCAGCCAGCCTGGGGCCGTGAAGGGTAGGAATGAGGAGGCTGGGTTGGTTGGCAGGAGAGCTAGGCTTCGACAGCTGCCACCTCTTCTTCGCTAGGGCGAAGTTCACACTTTCATCCGTCTTGCTTGCTAGCCCCAGTCCCTGGCTTTGGACCCAGGAACCTGCACCGTTCACTATTCTCCCATTCCCCACTTTTGGTCATTTTCCCCCTCCTCTCCGAGCTGTCCCTTCCTTGATTTTCTCCTCCTCACTTTCCGCCTTCCCTTTTATATCTTTCCTCCCTTCCATTCACACCGCTCCCCCATCTTATTTTCTGGATCTCCTCCGGGTTTTTTCCTTCCTGCACCCACCCACCTCCCACTGTCCCCATTCACTGGCTTTTTTGCTCTCTCAGGCCGTGCGGAGCCACACGCGCACCGAGTGCAAGTGCCACGGTCTGTCTGGCTCCTGCGCACTGCGCACCTGCTGGCAGAAGCTGCCCCCGTTCCGCGAGGTGGGCGCGCGGCTGCTGGAGCGCTTCCACGGCGCCTCCCGCGTCATGGGCACCAACGACGGCAAAGCCCTGCTGCCGGCTGTTCGCACGCTCAAACCGCCGGGCCGTGCCGACCTGCTCTACGCCGCCGACTCGCCGGACTTCTGCGCCCCCAACCGGCGCACGGGTTCGCCGGGCACGCGCGGCCGCGCCTGCAATAGCAGCGCCCCGGACCTCAGCGGTTGTGACCTGTTGTGCTGCGGCCGCGGACACCGCCAGGAGAGCGTGCAGCTCGAGGAGAATTGCCTGTGCCGCTTCCACTGGTGCTGCGTAGTGCAATGCCACCGCTGCCGCGTGCACAAGGAGCTCAGCCTCTGCCTCTGACCGGTCGCTGCCTCTCCAAACTGCGCAGCCACCTCTCGGCACTTGTAGCACTGCCTGGGCTCCAGCAGGGGGCGCTGCTGTGAAAGTCAACCTGTCAGGCCGGTGAGGCCGGGGTCCTGGGGTATGCACCTGACCTACGAAGGTTGAGGCGCCAGAGGGCCGGTGGAAAGGCGCTCTGAGAGTTTCAGGGCGGGGGCTGCGACTATACAGGCCATCCCTCCCTTTAGCCCCTCGAGTGGAAAGGAAAATTTGTCTCTAGGCCTCTGGAGACCGGACTCCTCTGAACTGCGGGCCATGGGATGCATGGGTGAGGTCCTCATCAATAAAGATATTTAAACCCATAGGACTGGACCCACAGCTTGGGAGGAGGGCTGGTCTCTTGCGGGCTGCTGTGTAAAGGGAAGTCGTTTCCAGAGTCCAGATATCAGGGGCATCACCCCGAATCCCTAGCTTCCCCAAGCCACCCGATTGGGCATTCTCCTTTGACGCTCTTTTGTTCCTTCTTGTCCTGCACAGAGGATCTGGGGAAGAATCCGACAAGGCAATCTGACAAGTAAAAAGGGACCAGACGCCTTTGGTGGTGATCTTGGTCCTGATCTTGGCCCAGCTCTTGGTCCTGATCTTCCCTTAATTTTTCAGGCATTATGCCTGTTTCTGTGACTTCTGGGGAGCTCAATAGGTAGATTTTTGCCCTGTACATGTTCATGGGTTTAGAGCACTTTATGAATATGGTGAAACTAGGTGATTAACAATACCAACTTTTGTTACCACCAAAACTAACTCCCATTCCCGTTACCACTGCTTTAGTACAGAAAAGACTGCCTGGCCAGCATTTCTGGTCTCACTTAGAAAGGAAGCAAGTTTATCCCACGGTTTCTCTTGGCACGTATCCTCATGGTCTTCTCATTCCTCTCTGGAAGCTGATGGTGTGGGTGAAGGAGCACAGAGGTAGTTCTAGGTTCTCCAGATGCCCCCACCTTTCTCCATAGCCCAGTTGTGAGGGTTCCGGGCCCCCACCTGCCCCCAGCACAATTCTGCAATGGGGAATGACCACCCTTCAAGGCATGCAGGGCAGCCCATGAGATTGGATTCAGATGCTATTGCTTAGAATTTTACAAGATAGATCAACCTGGCTGCATTTTCTTTACCTATGCAAAGAGGATACCACAGTGTTTTGGATCATAGGTCTTTGGGAATGTAAGCACAGAGTTGTCTACGGAGAAAGTGTGCAGGAGGAGAGGGTGAGGATAAGTATTCAAAGAGAGGCAGAGATAAGTGGAAACAATAGGTGTGGGAGAGGGAACTAGAGCAGGGGTTGAGAGAGCTCTGTGACATTTGAATCCCTGAAGCTAACTTCAGACTCAATGACCAGACTTCCCATTCTTTAATTCTCTCCCTGATCTAAAAGTTGGGGTACCTCTCTTTGCACTATTGGTCTGCCCAGCACCTGCAAAGCACCAGCTCTCTACCCCCATTCTCACAGAAAGTGCCATTTATTAAACGTAAGTTAGATATAAATTATGTGCCAAATACTGTGCTTTCCATATCTTATAAAAAACGATTTCCCAACCAACAGGTCTGTGGCACTGTGAGGTGATTTACGATGGCTGTAGCTTCTTTGCCACTCCTCCCATTGGGGAATAGAGTTTATTTCTCCTCCCTTTGAATTCTGGCTTGACTCTGTGATCTCGCTGGACCAATAAAGAGTGACAATGATGCGATGTAACTTCTGAGGCTGTAACTTCTTCTTCCTTCAAGCCTGGCACACTTTCCCAAGACAAAGGTCTGGCTAACCCTAAGGCTGCCATGTTGGAAGGAAGCCCAAACCAGCCACACAGGGAAAACAAGACCACTGGAGACTCTCCGAAGTCCTGAACATGAAAATAAAACCTTTTGAATAAATAGAGGGAAAAAACCCATTTGGATCCTTGAGTCCCAGTCAAACCCCAACCCCAACAGAAGGCAACCAGTCAGTGGTTCCACCATATGGAACAAAACCACCAGCTGATATCTGACAAATGTCTGACCTAAGAATCCTGAGAACTTTGGGGTTGTTTTGCTGCGCATCGGTGGATCATTGAAATTAGGTAGTCTCTCCATTACACAGGTAGAGAGACTGAAGACAGATTGGTTTATGTTGTAAATTTCAAAGCAGCAGAACCATCTTTGAACAGTTCCACGGAGACCCTGACTTGCTTATCCAGGTCATTTGACTGTCTCTGGACCAGTGACATTGTGCAGGGAGACATACTACCATAACCAAGTTTGGCAGTCTCCCAGGGCCACAGAGAGTGAGGAGTGCACAGAGAGGGAAGCAGAGTTCTTCAAGTGGAGTAGAAGGAAAGAGACTTCATCCTGGATGTGACAGATTCTACCCACAGCTTTCAGCACATTGTCCTTGGCCTTGTATCCTCTCAGGGTCTGGCCAATTTCAGCACTCCAACTCACTCTGGGCTGGAGGGGAGGGTTAGGCTGCTGTGGAAAGGATTGGGCACCTGGGGTTTGATCAAAGGTTGGATTAAATGCCTGGGCTTCGAGGAAAGCTCATGCGGAATTTGGATCCAGAGCCTCTCTCCTCCATTAACTTTCTAAGGGAGAGAGGAACTGACACGAGGGCCACACAGACAAGGAAGTTCCCAGCCTGGAGGTTTTACATTCACAGCTTTGCTCTGGAGCTCTGCCTGCACCCGTTAATGTCTGGCACTTTTCTCACAGACCGCCAGAGGGCTGCAGAGTCCAGCTTCTCTATTAACCGGGAGCTCCAGGAAGCAGGACATCTGGAGAAAGAAACTCAGTTGCTGAGCTGGGGAGATCAGGACTGGAAGGAAGCAAGAAGACCTACTGACTGCTTGGTGTGAGCTGCCAGGCTGCCAGGGTTTCGGACTTCCGGGACCTCCGAGCTGGCAACACCCAAGCTTGGATGCCAGCCCCTCAGTCTCTACTGCTGCTCTGCCCCAGGTGTGTTGGAGAGGGCTAGGTGGGATGGGTAGTGTTGGGTATCTTCCTGATCATGCCAGTAGAGAAAGCTGGGACAGTGGCACAAAAACAGCATCACACCCACACAGGTGGAAAGGAATTCAGAGGATATCGATGGTACAGAGAAAAGGCCTCATTTGGGAGCTTGACCTTGGTCAGGGAAGTTAGCCTGAACCTTAGTCTTCCCATCACAAGTTTCTCAGTACATCAGCAACGCACACCGCAGTCTTCAAACTGTCAGTCACATGGCTGGATCCACCTTCGGTGACCAAGTCCCACCAGGAGGAGTGGCTTTTTGTGAAGGATGACAGTGATGGCCCAGGGACACCGTTGGAACCACTATCCTTTAGATTTAGAGAGGGCTCGGGGCTCTTGAAGTGCTACCCAGGAAGAGGATCCAAAGCAGAGCTCAGAGGTGACTGCTCACTGGGCTGCTCTACCCCAGGCACAATCAAGGTCCCCTGCTGGCTGCATGATAGGGACATGAGGAACTGGGCAGAGCAGGGAAGGGTGCAGAGGCAGCCCAGATGTGCCAGTGAACACAGGGAAGGCAGAACACAGGCAGATGGATGAGGAGGCTGGGTAGGAGGTCTAGGACCAGCCCCAGGCCAAGGGCTCAGGAAACAAACATCTCCCTTTCCTTACAATGACCACGCACACTGGGAGACAGAAGCAGCAAGTTCTCTTCTCTTACCTTGCAGACGAGGCCTGGACAATAAGACAAAGAGGCTCCTTGTCCACCTGGGGCTCCTTTCCTCTCTTCTTCACCAAGATCAGCTTCTTTCCAGCAGAACCTCAGACTGAGTGGGGGCTGGACTAGGCTAGACCAGGGCTCCGAGTGTCCCACCTGTTCTCACCCTGGTGTCTCCCTGGACCCTGCTTCCATGAGCTCCTCCAGAGCAGCTACAGCTGGAACCATTCTCCAAGCTGCCTTTCATCCTCCATGTTCCCCCACCCCCAGTGGCCCCTATAATTGTGGTCACAGGCGGCTGCTGCTGCGGGGGCTGGGGCTGGGCTGAGGGCCAAGGCCCAGGGCAGAGTCAGGGTGGGGACAGGGGGCTGCTGATAGGGGCTTGGCCATGGCCTGTCTCCTATGCGGCTGGGACCCCTGTTGCACACTCTCCCTGGGCCTCATTTACATACATGACATACATACACACATTACATACCTCCCTTCCCGGGACTCAGGCTTAGGCACTTTCAGACCTGCATGACATCAGGCATCAAGCTGGAACCACAGGGAGCAGCACAAGCCTTGGGAATCCTTACTTGCCTCCTGGGGTAAAGGACTCTTACCGTTGCTCTTCTGTATTTCATGAGCAGTGGAGGTGGGGAAGCAAAGAGACCCTTTTTCTTTTCTTTTCTTTTCTTTTTTTTTTTTTTTTTGGTCTTTTTCCTTTTTATCGGTACCAGGGATCGAACTCACGACTGCCTGCTTGCAAGGCAGGCACTTATGCCGCTGAGCTAAATCCCCAGCCCCAAGAGACCCTTTTTCAACAGAGGGTGGCCAAAGCCAGGGAGGAAAGGGGGCGTTAGCTGCTCAGCCAGGTCAGCAGCATTTCCCCGAGGTGCATGCTGCCAAGAGACTTGGGATAATATTAGAAATGCAGACCCCCAGGCCTCTGCTGGAAAGTCTGAGTCAGCTGTGTGGGGTCTGGAATCAGTACCCCAGGGGATAGGGACCTCGAACCCAGCATGGGAAACCCTGGAGAGCACTGGACAGAGAGCACGGAGGTCTGCAGCCTATGTATGACTTCCAGTGTGGTACTGGGCCTGCTTCTGATCCTTGCTGGACCTCAGTTTCCCCAGCCAGCTGATGCCTTCTCCCGCCCTGGGCTCCTGCCTGCTTCCTGTGCAGGGTCTGGTCTTAACCCTGTCCCTATCCCCTTCCCAACCTCCAGTTCCAAGCTGTTTCTATCTTGGCGGGGAGAACGCGAGGGCAGGGGGTGGCTGGGGTCAAACAAGGCTCTGGCTGACGCAGTCTGCTGCTTCCTGCCCCCGGCTGTTTTCCTGCTGTCCAGCCAGACTGCTCCTCCATTGCCCCACCCCCACCCCCAGCAGCCTCAAGCCCTTAATTCCTGACAGCTGCGGTGGCTGCCGGCAGAGATGGGGGATGGAGGGGGAGTCTGTCAGCCTGCTGTTGCTCTGGCCCCCCACCACCTGACAGTGGGGGAGCAAGGACAGCCTCTCCCCTTTCCTGCAGTTCCCCAAGGATGGACACTTTCAGAAATGGGTCCCTTTTGTCTCTGGGCCCAAGACTCCAGCAGCTCTGCCTCAAAGGCAGAAAGGGTCCCTTTCAGACAGAGAGGGCAGGGGTGTGGTGGGAGGGATATATCTACATAGACTGGGGGTTTGTGCCCATTTC